ACTTGGTAATAACCAGAAAATACTAGGGGACATGATAATACTGATTCCATTACAATGCACCTGATCAGAATCTTAAAGATCAATTCAAGCTGCCCACCACGTCACACGTGCATTTCACACAAACACCTGGACCCAGTCAGGTCGCCACCCACACCCATGCCCGCTCCACAGAAATACGTGGACCAAGACTGCTCCTTGCGGCCTTTCATTCCATAGAGCTTCCTTTAAACTTATGTATGCACTTCTAATTTGTAACATTAACTTTTTAAAAAATTTATTTATTTTATAGTATTAAGGACTGAACCCAGGGTCAAGCTACATCCCCCCACCCTTTTCTTACTAAGTTTCCAGTTTTGGGCTTGAATTTAGCATCCTCCTACTCAGCTTCCAAGAGTGCTGGGATTACAAGCATGTACCACCAAGCCCAGCTTTACTGCTCTGTTTTGTTTTGAACAAAAAACTAATTCAAGAAACTTAAGTTTTTGTATGAAAGAGCTGACTTCATTTGACAAATACGAGGAGAGCAATGACAGGAAAACAAGAATCTGGTGATTTACTCCAGTCAAGGATGAATGTTCTCGGGGAACAAGGAAGACATGGTGCTCTACTGCAGGGGACCCATAGATTTCCTTCATATTTATACCTTTACCTATTTAGAAAGGAGGAAAGCAAACTTTGTTGCTCTCAAAGCACACAGATAGCTGGCCAGTGGAGAAAAAGAAAACAACCCACAGTCAAGGCTCAGGGATAGCTTGCTTAAGAGTGAGGCCAAATCACAGCAGAGAACCTCATCCCACTCCCCTGCCACCCAGCACCAGTCTTGCCAGCACCAGAACTAAGCAACCACAGCAGGTCTGGAAGGGCAGAGCGCACACAGCCTGGTTCACAAGGGACATCAAAGCTGGTATAGTCCAACAACAGCTAGGGAGCAAATGGGCCCAGTATAATTCCCAGTTTGAACACAGCACACTGAAACAACTGAACCTGGAAGTGCCTTGAGATAATTGCGGCCGTGGGAAAAACAAAACGCAGGTGGACCCCTACTAAAGAGACCCAAATTCCACACGAACCGTTCACTGTAAGAGGAGCTGTGCATGTTTCCAGATCCGCACGCTGCTACCTCCATCCTACACAGGCTGCCTGGCTCTGAAATCCAGTGCCAGGAGACCAACAGCCCGACTCAGACACACCCCAGATACTGGAACTCCCACAGAAAATATTTAATTGTAATTAATATATTACATGCTTTGGTAGAACAGGGAGACAACAAGCATGACAGAATGGAAATTTCAGTAGAGTTACACTGTAAGAAAGAAATCAATTACAATGCTAGAAATTAAAATAAGCAAATCCAGTTTGACAGGTGAAAACTGCCTCTGTCTTTGTTGGGGTTAACAACATACTGGACAATACTGAAAAATGAATCTATGCAACTGAAGAAAGATCACCAGAATGTATACAAAACAAAACACAAAGGTGAGGGTGTGGGGTGGAACCAAATCAGAGCATTAAAGAACGGAGTTTACGTGGAATGATTGGTTCAACACGTAGGAAACTGGAATTCCAGATGCAGTAGATAAGGGACGTTGTGAAAATGCCAATTAGAATAAATGCCAAAAACAGTTACACAAATAGGTAAACATATCAATAAGCAAATGAACACAACTGGTGACAGTTGAAGACAAAACTTAAGGATAACCAAATAAAAATGATGAAAAACAGACAGATATTATAGTAAGGTATCTTGTCAGCAAGTATGTAAGTTCAGAGGGAAACCATTCTTTAAACTGTTGAGAGGAAAAAAAAGCAACCAAAAACATCTTTCAAAAATGCAAGATTTTTAAACAAAAAGCCTTGAAAGAATTACCAATAGTCTTGCAACATAAAGTTCAAGTAAAAATATTTATGACAAAAATGGAGAGCTTTGAAGAGATAAAAACTATTGGAAATGGTAAGAATAAAGGAAAATGCAAAATTGATTTTTAAGTTTTTAATAGTTCCAAAACATAACTGTCTAAGCAATAATTTTAACACTGCATTCTCTGCCTTTGTAATATATGAAAAAGCAACAATGAAGAAAACCCCAGAAACCTGAGCATCAGGACTGAAAGAGGAATACCACCGCAGAGCCCAGACATTAAAAGGACAACAAGCACACTATACATGGGTGGATTTAAGAGTTCAACATCGTAAGTCAAGTGTAACAAGTCCTAGAAAACCAAACTACCAAACCCACTCAGAAAGAGACAACAAAAGCTGTCTGCAAAAATGCTGCTCCTTCTACTTAAATTTCACCTACGCACTATGCAAGGCAGAAAGACAAATTATCTCTCTTCAAAGTACCTAGTTAAGATACCTGAAACATGGTTAATATACATTCAAAATACTTCTGTTTTAAAAATTAGATAAAACCTTTTGACAGTTTAAATGTTTCAGAACATTAAATCATCTGGAAATTTTCTGCGGTGTCACATGATTAAGGATCAACTTTTAATTCATACATTTCTCTCCACTATTAATAGTTAGGGTAAATAGCTGGCAATTAAAAAAAAGATGAAGTCTTTGTCAAAACAAAAACACCTTGTAATTTTACCTAAAGTTAGATATTTGATGAAAAATTTTAAATCTCAACTTTTTCTTCCTTAAAACGTGCCAAGTTACTGATGTATGCATTTTGAAATTTAAAATTTAAAAATTCATAAACAATACTCTCAAATGTATATAAACCATTAAACTATCAATCAAATAAAACACACTTTACCTTAGACACAGGTTCTTGTTGCTTAGTGGGAGCTTCATTTTTTAATCTTGAAAACAAAATAAGTACTGATTATTTTATATCATACTTCCATGATAAAATACAAACTAGATTTTATGTGCTTAAACTAAAGAGTAAACTTAATGTCCATTTCATCCTGTAATAGTGCATGATCTTTGAACATATTTTAAGATAAAAATAAAATGAGAACAGATTCATCAGTGCAAATTAATGAACACATGTACTGTATTTACATCTCTAAAAACAAGAACACTTATGAAACAGTTTTTTGCTAAGTACAACTTAAAGCACATACTGCATTAGTAAAAATTATTTTTTAAAAAGCAGCAGGTCTGAACCCCAACATCACAATAAATCTAATTAATTAAAAATTAAAGCAGGTTATATACATATATACACATACACTCAGACACACACAAAATGCATTAGTACATTAATACTATTAGGAAACATAAAAAGTAAGGGAATGTAAATATTTTCTATTGTAAAATTGAATGATAATGGCACTTCAATATATACATTAACTTTCTCTGGAGGCAGTAAGTCATAAAATTATTTAGAATGTTAAAGAATATATTCTTTTAAAAACTTTTTTAAGCACTGCTCAAAAATTAACTATAAGGGGCTGGGGATTTAGCTCAGCGGCATAAGCGCCTGCCTTGCAAGCAGGCAGTCGTGAGTTCAATCCCTGGTACCGATAAAAAAAGAAAAAGATAAAAAAAAAAAAAACCAAAAAAAAAAAAAAAAATAACTATAAATATTCTGCTAAAAATATTATAGCATTACAATATCAACAACGCTAGAAAATCTTGGCAATTTAATTAACTTGATATAAAAACTAGCTCCTCCAAAGGATTATTTTACAAATTGCTGGTGACTAAATTACATTCTTTAAATTTCTAGCAGCAGACACACAAAAAATCATTGGTTGCTATTACATTCAATTTCAATATGCACATAAGAGTGATATGCTTGACTTCAAATGCCATCAATCAAGAATTCATTAATTCATAACTCTATTAAGGCTCAATACAAATGTAAGGAATAATTTATTTAAAATAAACAACTACATTCACTTAAATTTTATATTAAAAAGTGAAGACAGCTAATAGGACAAAAATGTCAATTATTTAGAAGTTACTAAAATTGTTAAATACTAAATTATCAAATGAGTTCCTTCATCCATTCTCTGAGGACACATTTTAAAAATTAGTACTATTATTTCTGGGTTCAATCCTCAGGACCACCAAAAAAGAAAAAAATTAAGGCTACAAATATTAATGCTTTATTAGATAATAATTAACTGTGAAGTTACTTATCAATATTTTAGGCATACAAAATTAGGAACAACTTTTAAAAGATTGTGATCTTTTTTGGCAGAACCATAATATTGGTAGTATGTTACAGTAATTTATAATTTGTCAGATTGAATAACAAAAAAAGTGTACAAATATAATTTCTCTGTTCTAGATTTTGTAAAGTATTTCAATGAGAACTGAGGTGAGATTACATCAAATATAAAGTACAACTTCACTGCAATAATGATGTATGAGAAAAGTTTTAAACATAGCACATATAAATATAAAAACATGAAAAATTAGTCTAAAAAATGAAAGATTACTGAAGTTCTGCAATAAATTTTTGTACTGCAACTGATTAAATTCAGTTGAAAAGGAGAAATAAACTTGTCAAAAAGCATTTCTGAAATATTTTGAGTGTTCAGCTTACTGTTGAAAATGTTATCAAAGACCTTATATTCTTACAAAAGAAGTATTACCACTCTAATCATTTTCAGGTATGTCTGTAAGTCAATTTTATGCAGCAATTAAGAGTCCATTAAGCAGGTTCAACTGTTATTGCTGGTATTTCACTTGGGGAAAACTAAACCTCTTAATATCTCTTCGGAGGAGGTTTGTGACAAGAGACTTTTATTCTCACTTTACTGGCTAACTGGTGAGAATACAGTTAGTTTCTAAAACAATCATAATCAAGAGGCTTTCTATAGCTTGATCTTGTTTTGTGCCTTAACATACTAGAATTCTCTTTAAGGGACAAAACTGTAATAACCAGTAAAAACAACTCTAAAATTAACCAGAAATGTAAACTACAAATTTCATCACAATTAATGATCACTAAATTTTTAACTATAAAAGTGTATTTAAAAATTAACTTAATGCAACTACAAATATATTAACTTTTGTAAAGAAAAACAATTTCATACCTGTAATTCTTATTCATTAAAGTTGCCTGCTGAAATAATCATCATTTGAGATATTCAACTTTTGGAGAAGACCGTCAAATTTTCTAAGCTCAAAGTTCTGTACTAATGACCTATCACTGTGAATGTTGCAGTAATTCTTTTATAGAAAGATGTAGTGCAGTATTCAGAACACTGATCTTTCAATACAAAGAGAACAAAGCACTTATCAGTGATCAATTTCAACATCATTAATGATGAGACTGCAGGTAATTTTTTTCTATGGAAATCTGATAGACCTTTGATGTATTTGTAAAGCATAATCCCTTTCCTCTAAAGCCTAAAATAAAATGTATGGCCTCGTTTGCATTTTTCTACAGGTAAAATGACTAACATGAGGCCACTCACACAATGACTGTCCTGATTTAATTATGGCAGTATGCTCTTTTGAGGCTTTGAAGTACAAACATACCATGGGTTGGGGAGAGGTGGTAAAAAAATTATTCAGGTTTATTTCAATTAGGCCAAATTCTTTGTTTCCAATAACATTTAAAAGCCAAACATGTCAATGCTAGTATTATAAATTTAATCTTCAATTTAAGATTATTTGTAAATATACTGGAAAGCTAAGATCATACAAGAAGCAAATAATAGTTTTCAAGACCTTTCTCTTAGACATTTAGGACTAAATTAAAGATAATAACCATTAGACTCAAAAGTAACAGAAAAACATCTAGTGTTATCATTTCTGATCATTCTGAAGACTGGTAATAGGCTTGTGTGGAAAAGCATATGAACTAATCATTTACTATGTTAAACATACCTAAGTGTTCTAGTCCAAAAATAAAAGCAAAGTCTCTTGTAAAGAAAACAGCAAATCTTTACAGTATTTTAAAAAGGATTGAGTCAGTATAAGAGGGAGGGACAAGCAGGCAGCACAGACAACACAACAAACGTGGGTTTGCAGGAACACAAAAGTTAGCAAAGCTGAGAGGTGATTCAAGGCACAGCAGAAACAAATTCGAAACAAGATGGCATAGACAGGCCCTATCACCTAACTGAAAGGCGCCCAGGAAAACAGCTGAAGGTAAACGTGAAGAGATAGCAAAGGCAACTTCACAGATCTTCACAGCTATGATAAAGTGTTCATACTAAGAATACTGAAGCCAGTATGAATGTGATCAGATTTGTACATCAGAAATAGATGGGTTTCAGTCAGAGTCCCAGTTAAGATAGTTTATGACTGTCTTATCTGAAACAGGAGCAGTGCCAATGGAGAAAAAGATTTAGGGAAATGTAAGTTAAAACCAACAGAATTTCACAATATAGTTTATAAGAACAAACATAACCCACCCCTAAAGTCAACCTCAACTGGTGAGGAAACCAGTAACATCATTAACCGAGAAAGAATTCAAGGGGAAAGGGAGCTTATTTTGCAGGAAAAATGAACTTGGACATATGAATTTGTGATACAGAGCCATCATATGGCCATGTTCATCACAGATCTGTTCATTCTGTGCATGTCATTCTTAAGCACAACTAAGAACACTTCTACTCAGAATGACTGCCAAATTAAACCTGATAATCTGTTATTCTTTGCTAAAATACACTATTGTCTGTGTCACAGAAATGCTGCCCTAACTGGGAAGCTGTACCACTTCCTCTGCTGACTGTGTTGGTTCCTGCCTCCACCTTTCTAGCAAGATGGCCTACACAGTGAAGCGAAGTCTGTCCCACAGGGCAGGAAGCACAGTCCTTAGCAGCTCCGTTTCTGAAGATAGACTTCCAGACTGTAAACTGAGATTACCCCTTCCAGTTATGTTAACACTATGCAAAGTATCTAATTTATGTACACTTCAGGTATCTGAAGGATAATAATAGCACTTGTATCAAAGATCTGTGAGAATTAAATGAGTGCAAAATACGCAGAAGAATGTCTGACACATTGTGTGTCAACGATAAATCATACCTATTACTGTGATGGGCACAGTCTGCAATCAATCTTCCTATATAGAATTTGCTAAAAAGTTCACAACACAGGTTAATTTATAATTTACTCCTACAGCTTTGAGACTTTTCATGCTTCCAGTCTTCCTTGAAAAACCAGTACCTTAACTATGTCTACATTTTCATTGCTGGTCTACTCCCCTTAGGATCAGCCTTATTTGCTCTGGTATAAAAACACTGACATATTTCTGAAAACCTTGGTTTCATCTGCTCATCCAAAGTGGGGAAAAAAAAAAAAAAAACCAGAAAAATCATTCTGGGCCCATACAGCTAGTAAATGCAGAACATAAAACCAAGAAGACAAGACATGTGTATAAAATTGTAGAAGAAAAGACAATGTATGCAGGTTTTTTTTGTTTGTTTGTTTTTTTGTACCAGGGATCGAACTCATGATTGTGTGCTTGCAAAGCAGGCACTTACGCCACTGAGCTAAACTTCTGGCCCCAATGTATGCAGAATTAATGTAGAAATAGGGTTCTATTTTATCCTGTTGGCAATACTAAGTAACACCTTAGATATTTTATTTATAAGCTATAAAGGACCCCCAAGACTAGGAGACTGAAAAAGTGGCACAAAATCATGGGTAAAGGTTGGTATGGTCTGCCCTCAAAGACAGACTATGCAGAGTTGCATTTACCCTCCCTTCTTCGCTGCTTTCAGATACTAAAGACTCCAAATCCAAAGTGCCAGAAACCACATCTTGATGTACATACAGCTCTCACCTGCTGATTTGTGATTTCATACCAGTGTACATGCACTAAGACTACTTACTTTGAAAAGAAAAACTTTTATGTTCCTGGTGACATTTTTGAAACATTAACAATCCCGAATCTAGAGGAAAGCCTCAAGTACTTCTAATTTCAGTCACATTTCAAAAGATCAGAGAAGTAATGAGCCTGAAATGTGAAATGAGATTGGTCTGCCTTTCTTTCCTGCTAATGTAAATGAAATGAAGATACCCTGACCATTTTGAACATTTAAGTCTTTACTTTTAAAACTCAGATTGTGATTAAAGCCAATACTTCCTCCAAACAACTTCTGAATTTCACAAGAGAATGACTTCATAGTTTTGAAAGTTCATAGAATCAATGAGATGAAACATTTTTAACAGAAATATTTTCAAATATAAAACTTAAAAGTGTAGGCATTTGCCTCTGAAACTGTCCTTACTGCTTATATTTGTGAAAAATGACTTTTATTAGTTTAACTGAAAGTAATAAAGTGATACTTCATTCTGGGGACAGGTTTAGATTCTTTTTCATACAGGTATTTCACAAAAGCTACATGGCACAAGTTGTACTTCTTATTCATATCTCATTCCAGCTGCTGACACAGAGGCACACAGGCCTTCTGGCCCCGTGAAGGCAAGCTATCAGCGGTCAGGTCAACGAATAGATACACAGAAGGGAAACAGTTGTGTTGTGCCTATGGGTGCTGAGAATGAAACTCAACTTCAGTCTTCGTGATTCTCAAACAAGAGGGAGGAGTATGTGCTTTCAAGGAAAGACAGTTTTCCACATGCGTTTCTTCCTAGAATTCTTTAGAGGAATTTAATAAAGTATAACACGCAACTTTTTATCTGTAAAACATATTATACACCTTTTTAAGCCCTCAAAACATTTATTTTCAACCCATTTCATGAATGAAGAAATCAAATACATGACCAAAAAGCTGTTTAGACAGCAGAGTCCTGAACTCCTGAAACTTTAGTCAACGCTCTTTCCGGGGTACCTTGGTTCACGAACTTAACTCTCTCCACTTTTTCTGGCCACAAACTGAATTGGTCGAGAACTGAATCAAATTTCCCTGTAAGGTCAACACTGAACCCAACCACTGAACTTGATTCAGTTCTTGTCCAATTCAGTTTGAGATCAGAGACATGAAATGTTTGTGAACCAAGGCACCACTGTACTTTGCCTAAAACAAAGCTGGCGCTCACTCAGTGAACTAAATCAACTTTTAAAAATCACTTCAAATTATGGCTTTTTGAGACTAGGTTTCACTACATAGCTCACACAAGCCTCCAACTCAAGGAAATCCTTCTGCCTCAGCCTCCTGAGTGACAGGATTATAGGTGTGCACCACTACACCCAACCCAAATTGGGGCTTTAAAAGCATTTCAATTACTAATATAGACAACTCATAAAGGAGCCTAGTTTTGTAAGCATGTGCTATTATGTATTTATAATGGATTCTTATGTTCCGCAAGTGCGCTAAAGGAAATTATCTATTTTCAATTTATTGTCAAGAAAAAGACGTTTACAAAATGTAAAACTTTATTTCTCTGTTATAATTCAGCTACAAGATATACTAGAGAAAACTAATATATAGGGAGAAACAGAACAAAGCAATTTTATAAATGAGTTGAATAACAGTGTAACATTTGAGAAAGATCGCTCTTTAAATACATCCCTTCTGGGGCTGGGGATTTAGTTCAGCGGCACAAGGGCCTACCTGGCAAGCAAGAGGTTGTGAGCTCGACACCTGGTACAAACAAAATGAAACAACAAAAATAACTACTAAATTATACATTTTTCTTTCTATATTTTCATAAAATAGTAGTATGTGATAAGTAGACACAATTTATAGAAATGAGTAATAATAGTGGAATTTTTTTCTTTGAAGAAGGGATTTTATACCAATTTTCCCCAAGTTAGTGTTGTTTCATAGTCTTCTCCCAGGAAATGCCAGAATTATGTTCAATTCTGACACAGAATTAAACAAGGTTCAACTGAAGCACTGTGATGTAATGTCATCCACTTAGCAGTCTGGAAACATGTACTGCAAGACTGAAGTATAAGTGAAAATCACCAATGACCTCAGTGCAGATGGAAGACTTCCCCGAGGTTTCCTGTCACCTGGACGCAGCACTAATAATAATAGCAGGAAAGTAGTGGTGGTAGCAGAAGCAGCAAGTGTGCATTTACCCAGAGGCTACCTTCTGTAAGAGTTGTACCAAGTAACTTAAGTAGAGTAACTAAACCATATGAATTAGTACTTTAATTAATTTGTACATCTTATTTCTTACAATTGCTCTGTAAGGAAGTATTACGTATCTTTCAGCGAAGAGGAAGATGAATCTCTGTAAGATTAAATAATTTCCTCAGGACTATGGAGCTGGTTAAACATTAAGGATTTTTTCTTTTACTTTCTCATTTATTTAGTGCACATGTGTGCATATGTGATGTGCACATGTTTTTGTGTCTGGAACTTTAACCCAGAGCCTTATGTAAAACTAGGATTTAAATATTGAGCTGGGGGTGGTGGTGCATTCTTGTAGTCCCAGCACTTATGAGGCTGAGGCAGGAGGATCCTTGCAGGTCCGTGACCAGCATAGGCTACAAAGTGAGCTCAAGGCTGGCCTGAACTATATAGCGAGACCCTGTCTCAAAAAAAGACCGAAAAGAGACAAAACTCAATAAACTGAGTCAGAAAAACAAGGCTAATAGAATTTGTCAAAATGGTATGGAAGGGTAGAATGAAAACGAGGTTGAACAGTAGGATAATATCCCCTGAATAGTAATAAATAACGTTGCAATACAATGATAACTTTATAACTGATGGTGCTCCCTACATATTAATCATTTTTGAAATACTACATGGATATACCAACTCCTTTAATTTCCTGACACTTTGTGAGTAGGTATTTTTATTATCTGTGTTTTACAAATGTTGCACACTATAGTAAACAACGGGCAGGACTCCAAACTTGGCAAACAGCTGTACAGCCTGCACTGTGTTGCACTGCCCTTTAAGGGTCTGAACGTTTAATGTGGGCCTAGGTATCAAATTTCCTAATCTTATTATCAAGGAAGATCTTCTGAAGCCATTCAGGAAAGAAGTAAAGCTTTACAAAATGAAAAACTTTTAAAAAGAAACTTCTTAAGGATAACATAAGGGTTAGACATTGTAATAGTCTCAAGAAACGTAGCTGAGTGATAGATTAATAAATAAGAAAAGTGAGTTACAGAGAGAAGCTAGAAATAGTGAGATTCTTCAGTGTAAAACCATGCTAGGTAACCAAACTCCTTCAACACAAGCATCCCTTGCTGCTACAATTACAGATAGAACAGGCTAAGAACTACTCTGCTTAATTACTTATTTCTTAGATTTTATAAATATATGCCATTTATTCCTGATATAGTACTAAAATATGAATATGTACTTGCCAGCATCTACTTATGCATTCATTTTATAAAATATTTGTGAATATGAATGAAATGTCTTGGAGGCCTTTTTAGACAACACTTCATACAACTACTTCTATTTTCCAAGTTAAGATCAGCACTGAATACACTATTTATTCTATGTAGGTTTATGTCCAGATGAAAAATCCCATGTTAAAGCATTTATTTAATTTTCATTTCCCTTAATCTATTAACCACAGGAACCCCCCATATCACACATCAATTTTGGACACTAGTCCTAAAATGGAGAATTTGGGAAACACTAAGCCACTTAGTTTCTTTTATACAAACACAAGACTGTTTTATACAGTAGTACATGCAGAGAATTGTATATGCCTAAGAGTAACATGGACATTTCATTCTCTCAAGGTCAAGAACACCTGATTTTTTGCTACTGGATAGGGAATGTGTGGCATTCTAAATTAATCTTCTCACAAAAACAAATTATGACACTGAGATATAACCAGTACCGAACTAGAAAACCCCAGACTGTAAATCCAGTTAGTACTCGAATCTTTCACAAAGGCTGAGGCTCAGAGAAAGGCACTGCCGCTCCCTGGAACCTCCTGCATTGCTTATCACATCTGCTTAGTTTTCTCTGTCCACTCCTTTTCACCCCTGACTTACAAACAGACTTCACGAGTTTAAAGACCCTGCCCTTTGTCTATCTTTGCTGTACCCAGCTCTCACACAGCTCCATTCATTTCACTTCATTTCTATTATGGGATAATTACAGATTCACACAGCTGTCAGAAATGATGCAGAGAAGTTTCATCTACTCTTTACTTGGTTTCCCAGGAGTAACATTCTGCAAAACCACAGCCCAATAGCACAAGCAGGGCACTGATGGGGATACATGTACTGACCCTGAAAAGATCAGTTTTACTTTTATTTTGTCTCGTGACACTTTGAAATAACAATGACACTTACAGCATAAAAAACTTCTCCAAATTCGCAAGTGAATGACCATGATATCTCCACTTAGCTATCTAATAGGCATCTCAAATTAAAACATGTCCCAAGTCAAAGTCTTCATCTTTACTCTAAACCTATCCTCTCAAAGTCTTCTCTATTTCAGCGTCAGTGCCACTTTTCCAGTTCCTCAGGCTACTAACCATGGAGTCATTCACCATTCTCTCACCTCTCACATGTAAGTACTAAGAAACTCAAAATACAGCAAAAATAAAATCACTTACCACCTACTTTGCTAGCATCTTGGGCAAACCCCCTTAATACCTACTTGGTTACAACAGCCCCTAACCTCCAACTCTGCCAACTATTCTTGAGAAAACAGCTAAATAAATACTGCTGCTGCAATCAGGTTGTTTACTCAGATTTTTAGGGAAATATTCTCTACTAAAAATTTTCTACAGGGACAGGGATATAGCTTAGTGGAAAACTGCTGCCCTGGCAAGCACAAGGTCCTGAGTTCGATTATCCATGACAGAAAAAAAACCTCCACAGATGAACAGCCACTATCTTTGTTTCAGACAGGGCTCTAGTTCAGGCATCCAGGCATCCAGGCTGGCCCTACAATCGACAGTCATCCTGTATGGGCCTTCTGAGTGCTGGCATTACAGGCACAAGACTTGAGCCCTAGGTCTGAATATGTGACCTGCAAGAGCCCCCTTTTGTCCCATCGCTGTGCTGGGACTGCAGATAAGTGCCACCGTGTGGCCTAACCGCCTCCTTCCTTGCAGGGGTCTGTAAGCTCTTCTGTCCCACAGGCCCATAGGACTCACAGCTCATCTGCTCCAAGGCAGCTGCACCAGTCTCCCTGCAGTTCCTCGAATCCGGGCTTCAGCACACGGCCTAGCAGCTCACTTGTCACCCCACACCCTTACTCAAAGACTATCTCTCAGTGAGCTCTCCAAAGCCAAACACCGGTCACCAAATTTAAAAGTAGCCTCTGAGCTTCTACTTGATACTTTTTATCCCCGCTCTCCACTTACATTTCCTTTATAGTATTGGTCAATTTGGGATATACGTTCTACTTACTTTTTATTGTCTTTTAAGACAAAATGTAAGCTACACAAGAGCAGAAACTTCAATATATTTTTCTAATACCTAGAACAGTGTCGTGCACAACTCAGTAAGTGTTTATGGAATAAAGTGCAAAGGCGAGATGTTTTGCCAAAATGCAACAAAAATCACAAGGTTCAGTCATTTTTCTCTCAATGGAGATGGACACAAACTGAAACAATTACATCTTTTATTCAGTGGTAACCCAAAGCATAAATGCAAGAAATGTCTATTTCTGATTATGTAATAAAGTATTTAGAATAATTTGATGATAAAGAATCAAACCCGAGAAAACTACTTAGACTCAAATTTAAGTAACTCTCTCTGATCAACAAAAATCTGCCCTGCCTCATTTAAAACAACTTTTTAAATGAAGTTCCAACAGACAGAAATGAACCTGATATATGCTATAAGTTCTATTAAAGAGCTCTGCAGAAGAACACAAAGGCACGTCACACATGGCGGTACCAACACCATGGTGCACCATTACTTTTGAATTAGACTGACAAAGGACACATTTCTGTGCAGATGAACAGAAAATTAACATTAAATTGAATGAAGTTCCTGAGATACAGGGTGTATGTCAAAAATCCTAGATAGATAAGGAAATAAAGACTAAACTATTAGCACTATAAAGAACCACTTATGAATATTTTGGAATATCTGTCATTTATAGCACATATAAATTTGTATAAAAACTTAATGGATCCAACTTTGTAATATTCTTAATTGCAATGAACACATTACATAATCAGTGGTATCCAAAAACACAGGTTTTTGGAGTTTGTTTGTTTGTTTTTGAGACAAGGTTAGTTCAAGTCAGCCAGGACTTGAACTAACTCTGTACCCCAAGGCTGGCTCACACTTGTGATCCTCTAGCCTCAGACTCCCAAGTGCAGGGATTACATGTATGCAAAACCAAAACCACCCTTGGCTAAACTAGTTTATCTCTACTCCAAAGTACAAATGAAGTTCTGATTTTTCAGACAAGGAAAATGTTTGAGTTACAATTTCAGTGCCTCCTAATATTTATTCCTATTAAGAGCAAAAGGCACTTTTCTAGTCTTTAAAATTCAAGAAGTTAGTACAGACTAGTGACTTTTTAATTGTGCTACAGGAAAAAAATGCAAGATGCATAAATATATTCCTGCTGGTTTAAACTACCAGTGATACATGCATGACTGTTCACCCAATAGGATGGTCCTGACGGGATAATGACGCATGTACCACCAGCAGTTCAAGCCCCATCAGGAATGTGTTACACAGGTGTATCTCTCAGTCTACATGCTAACGATGCTTCCATATGATAAAGCAATGGTCCTATTTATAAGACAAAGTTTAGAGATTCTATTTCAAATTACTCATTAGCAAACAATTCCTGAGACAAACACATTTTTATTAAAAGAAAATAATAGTATCAAAACTATTTAATAATGTATATTTAACATAACTAATATGAACAGGACAAAATTAAAATGTATGTAGGACAAAAACATGTGCACTGTTACCAAATATATTTAATGTTACCTTTACCCAAAGGAACTACAATGATGACTAAGTAGAAATTACATAGATATACAAATATGCTACTTCAAAACTTGTTTTTAAGATCTGTAAGCAGAAGTCTTTAAAATTTAAAAGCCAAAATTGTTAACATAACATCAATAATCCTGCAATGGACAGAGGATGCAAGAATGGTCTAAAGGGTCTGAGCAACAGCCAAACTAAAAAACCAACATGCAGCTCGTGTGCAGAGAATCTGCAGGGTTCTCTTGCAGATCTTCATAAAACAAAAGTAAGCAAGTTTTCAAGAGTAGAAATATAGACATCAATAGATTTAGAGAACAGAAAACCAAGCTATTAAGTTAAAAATTTTAAAAGAAAAATCTGAATATATTGCTGCAAAATTAGGGTTAGGGTAATATATTTTAAGTAACATTAAAAAACTAATTTTGGAACACAAATAGAGACCTGTTGTTCCAAGGACATGAAAGTAGCCATCAATCTCTTAACAGCTAGTTTTTTTATTTCTTGGAATGCGTCTATGCTAGTGGAAGATCTAAAGGAGGCAGCCAATTGATCTGATGAGCTTTTCTTGTGCGTAACTGGCCCATAAGCTTAAGATCAAGAGCCAAAGCCACCAGTGGGAATATGCTCAGTGTGGCGGGGCCTTGGGCCACTCTGCAGCCTCATGGAAGGCCAGCCGTGGAGGAAGGGGATATCCCCAAGATAAGATTTATTGAGGCCACAACTGACAGCAGATCCCACAGTCAAAGGATTCACATTCCTTGGAAAGAGAGAATAAGCATCGGTTGTGTTCCTCAGAGGGGGACACTGTACAGGTGAACCCTGGACATTTTTTGAAATCTCTGGGCTGCTTCTGCATCTGAAAAAAAAAAAAAGAAAAATAGCACAATGACAGACAACAAATAAGGAAGGACCAATCATTTGACCTAAAACTTTAAGACATCAGAAATTAAGAAAGCAGACATAATAGAAAAAAAAAAAAAAGACAAAAAGTCATATCATTTGGAATGCATTACTCTGAATACAAATGCAGTAAAGAGAAAAACAAATTATTTTAAGCAAAGTAAGAAAGAACTATAGCAACAAAAGTTATTTCTAGAGCCAACTGGAAAAAAACAAAAAGATGTTAGAATACGTCACCCTGACAGAATGGTAAGGTGGAACAGGAATCTAGACTTCTCTGAAAGATAGAAAGAGCTTAATTATGAGAGCTAGTATCATGAAGATGGCTGCTTAACTGCCTTTGTGTAAGAAATATCACAGAACTTTGAACTTAGGAAATTTCAGCTTGTCTTGCATCAGGTCATGAGATCCACAGAGCAGGAACCTATTTCAACAAGCAGCTTTAAAACGAAAAACAAAAAAACAAAAAATAAAAACAAACAAAAAAGAAAAAAAAACACCAAATACTTTAATATTCTCATTCCTATCAATGATACAGTTAAATGCAATAGTGCTAAAATCCATCAAAGTAAAATGCACTGAATAAAAATTAAACTTACTCAGAAAGATGTTCAGAAGTTGGGATACAAACAGAAACTGAAATTAGAAGAAAAGTTTTATATTTACAAGAGCATATGAACTATGATGGGTGAGAAAAATGACTTAGTAAAGAGCCCACATTGTGGCTGGCTGACCAAAACTAATGGAATAAATACTGAAACTCCAAATCAGCAGTTATATATACTTACCCTTCCCTGTTATAATGTGGCAACTGTGAGATTCATGTTGACTTAAGTGGGTGGCCATATTATCTAAGTCAAAAACACCAGCAAGGAACTCACAATTAAGGCACATTAGAGAAATGCCCCTAAAAAAAAGAAAAATAGCATAAGAGAAGAGGTTTTCAATCTTTTATAAAACCCATATACAATCAATTATTTTTCCATGATTTTGTTTTTGTGTTGCAACTGCAACTTACCATTCTGTCATTCAAATTTGGCATGACTGAAATGTTTATCTAGAAAATGACACAATTATACCTACCTATATGGTATCTACAGGAAATATTTATGTTTCAATAAACACTTGCCCCTCACTCTCACTGAGAAAACACAGGAGTCAAAGGCCTTACCCAGTCTTAGCTCCCCTAATAACTCGCATTAACATAGTCAAGTCATGTGTATTTTTCCTCAGATCATCTGCGAAGTGAGAATGTAGTTGGGATAGTGGTGCTTGTCCCAAACTCCAGCACTTTGGAGGCTGAGACAGGAGGATCACCATGAGTACGAGGCCAACCTGGGTTCATAGGGAGTTCAATGTCAGCCTGAACTATTGAGCAAAACCCTCCCTCTAAAAAATAAAAGTGAGGATATAGTATCAATCAACGCAACATACACTTACATAGTCTATCTCTGCACTATATTATTAGATATTATAAATGTAATTGTGAACAAAAGTGCAACCACACTCTAATGAAATTTTTAGGTTTTATTCATCATTTTCAGTTTTTTTCAGGATAAAATTAAAGCAAAACCTAAAAATTGTAGTAATAGATCATGTGCTAGCTGCCATTGATTACAGATTACGATTATAGCTGCACAATTCCAAGGTTCTTCTTACCCCAGTAACTGAGGTTGTTGCTGATGTCATTTAACATTAAATCAACTGAAGCAGTTATTAAGTATTGGTGTCCACAAGTTTTGAGTTCTCTATTATCTCAGTACTGTGAACTAACCTACTTAAAGTACCTAAAGTACTTTAAAGACCTAAAGTACTCTACCCCTTACACAAACTTCACAGAGTTGCAATTCTTAAGTAAAACACATGTTCAAGAGACAGTTCCCATAGACTTCAAAATATTTGGCTGAGTCTACCTCAGTTTGTGTACTAATCGAACCACACTAAATGTACTAACTGTACAGCATTTGCTATTTGAAGCAAAATATAATAACTGGCATATTAAAGCTTATGGTATCAGCCTTAAGATTCACATTTAAAATACAATTAGACTTGTGATTTTTAGCTAAAAGATATTTTTAAAATATTAAGGCTGTAAAAGTAATGAACAGTTTCACAGAACTCAGAAAAGTCCCTAAACATTTAATGTTTTACATTTAAGGTGTAAAACAGTTTCACTGGTAAACAGCAAACCAAGGGTCTTTTCCAGACATACTGGGCAAGGGATGGAATATGTAGCTCCAAGAGTCTTGAACAGGTACTTTTATCTGAAATTCACAACTCGATTTTTTTGACTTGGGAAAATGTGGAGTGGGAATATTACATTTAGTTCCTTAATAGATAAAGTGAGTCTGTGAGAGAAAGGAAAAAGGAAACAGAGAAGACAAAACAATATGCGCCTCAGAGAGAGAACACAAGTTAATTACAGATGACTTTCTGTTTCCTTTACTCTAGCAACTCCACTCAGGAGTCCCTAAGATTAATTAGTTTTGCTTAGGTTAAGATTAAAAAAAAAAAGATCATGCAAGCCAATCACTGTTACTGTAGTGTAATAACCAAGTATATATACTTGAATTTCATTAAAGAGTAGAAATGGAAGCATGTACTTTACCAATGCATGAACACAAATGGAGCATCTCAGACAGAGTTTTCCTCTCAAGCCACCCTCTAACAGCATGCTGTGTATTTCCACCAACAGGTTGCTCTGCAGTATTAAATCTAAAATCTTAATAAGACTTGCTCCCCAAGTCAAGTCTTCCTGACTAATGTGTTTCATGATAGCATTTCACTTGACATTAAAGTTCAGACTACAGTTACCTAACTCTCTTCATCCTTAAAATACTTTTATTTTAAATTTAAGGAGAAAAGAAAAAAAGAAAAAACAGAAAAAGGGTACAAGTAATACAGAATTTCAAAAAAATAAACAGTAGGAAATCACTAGTTAATAGATTACATAGTCATCTTAGAAAGTTGTTCAAGTTACAAAATTAAAGCTTAAAATACTTAATGTCAAGTATTTTATAATATCAATTTATTGAGAGCTTCCCATTACACATCTCATCTAAAGTTTACAAGAACCTAAAGAAGCAAGTGCTATAATTATCACTTTTATACAGGTAAGAGCTGGTTTAGTAACTTGCCAAGGACATGGAACTAACTGATAAAGGTCAGAATCAAGTTTAAAGTTGAGTGTGCTAATTCCAGAGCTCAAACCCTTGACTGCATCCCTGCTTCAATGTAACGTCATTCTATTCACAATATTAATGGTTCTTCAATGCCTTAAATTACATCCAAATTCCTTATCCTCTCTCTACATGGCCATTCAAAATAAGTGAGTTCTCGTCTGAAATAACTCATTGCACTTATTAAAATCCAGTTATTTATGGTCATAGTTTCTCTCCCACCTAGTACTATATACTCCCTGAAGTTGATTTCAAGATTACTTCATCAATCTCCTTTAAATAGCACCTGTTATATTACATACAGGACAAATGCAAAATAAATAGCTCAAAATGAGTATTAAATTACAGTAAGAGCAATTACAAAGTTTCACATATATAAAACTGTAAGATTAAATGTTAAGTTCCATTTGCAGAAAACAACCAATTGATCTCAACCTAACCAGTTGAGACCCAAGTTGAAAAAAAAAAAAAAAATCTCCCACCCTACCCCAGCTCTTTACAATGATACAGTTCACTTAAATCCATTAAACAACAACAACAGCAACAACAAAAATCACACAACCAAGGTTGGCAACAGTGAGGTAAAAATCAAAATCTGACTTAGAATACAATAAAACCATTTTCATTCTTATAAAAATTTTTAATAAAGGCAACTCTAATATAGTACTAATAGTACTTTAATAGTACTAATCTATTTTTAAATTTAATCATTTTTTGTCTTTGGAGAACTATTAGGCACACATAAATAGGACATACTGTCTACAGGCATAATTTTTTTTTTTTTTTTTTTTTTTTTTTTGTCTTTTTCCTTTTTATTGGTACCGGGGATCGAACTCACGACTGCCTGCTTCCAAGGCAGGTGCTTATGCCGCTGAGCTAAACCTCCAGCCCCCTACAGGCATAATTTTTATCATATACATAAATTCATTCAACAAAGGTTTACTGAGTGCCTTCTACATGCCAGGCATAATACAAAAACCCCAGCCACATATAATGTTGGAAAAACACAGACAAGAAGGATATGTAAGCATGTCATATGAACTAAAAGAAAAATAAAGCATGAAATCAAAGTAGGATTGCTAGAGTGAAGCACATAGGAAGGGGCAGAATTTTAAATACAGTGGTCAAGGAAAGGCTCACTCATCAGAATGAAAATAAAGGAACTAATTATATAACATCTTAGGAAGAACAAAGTAGGCATGGGAGATAATAAATGCAAAGGTCCTGAAACATAGTATTATAGTATCTTTTCTTTCACCTTTTCTATTAACTTTAAGCATCAAAAAAGTATTATCTGAACAGCTCAAAAAACTACCTTAGTAGAATAAAGACATTGTATTTTGAAATCTGAAGTATGAAAAAATGATGTTCAATAAATTGAGTTAAGTGTGCTAGATAAAGAAAGTTGACTATCCTGGCACTTAGAAATATTCTCCAATAATTCTTTACATACAGTAGTCCAGTTGTACACTTCACTTTATACAAAAAAGAATTATGCAGACTCTCTCTCTGTGTAACCCCTTCCCCTCTAAATATGGATTTAAAAAATTCCAGTGGTTCAGTGAATTTACTTCAAACTGAAAAAGTGTTAGTCACTTTACTAGATATTTCAGATACCTTTTTAAACTAAAATATTGTTGGTGAGTCTTATTTTTGTTTTAACAATACAAATCCATGAGTTTCATCTTAACACCATCTGTCCCAAGAGAATTAATGATCTAGTGAATAGATTATAATCTATAGTGAACAGATTAATCTAATGATATAATGAACAGATAATATATAATGATATAATGAACCACCAATAGCATGAGTTAGATTTCCAAACTGGCACTAACATCAGGTGTCATGGCTTTTATCTAGATAGCTCACCAAAGCTTCACACAGTCATAGTAGGAGACTTTCATTGTTGGCTGGATTAACGTGTGTGAAGGCAGACGGGGGTGATACTGGGGTTAAGGACCAGGGTGTTGCAAATCAATAAGCATGTAGCTTGGATGGAATTTAAAGGGAGAAAAACAAGGCAGACTTGCTGCTTCTCCGGCTGCAGCTACCTCTTTGCATGACATGGACTATTTCACTTTGGAGTCAGCTAACTAGGCTAAAACTTCTACAGATTGTGAGCTAAAAAACCTTTTCTCCCTTAACTTGTGGGTGTTGGGTATTTTGTCCCAGCAATGAAAAAAGTAAGATATCAGATTAATAAAAAAGTTATAACAAACTACAATGATATGCCACTTTAAACCTACTAGAAAGAGAGGTAAAACAAGTATGGAAAAGCTATGCAGAAACTGGAAGCCTTCTATACTGCTGGTGGCAATGTGACACAGTGGTACTCTGGAAAACCGTCTAGCCATTCCTTGAAATCTCAACAGTTATCCTACCACCCAGCAAGCTCAATCCTAAGTATACACGAAAGAGAAATAAAAGGACATGTATACACTGGTAGACAAATCTTCAATGCGGCATTATTTATAATGGTCTCAAAATAAAGGTGACCCAAAAGGACAAATTTTACTAGGAGGGGGTATACCTATAAAATGAAATATTATTTAACAATCTGAAAAAATGAAGTACATGTCACAACATGTATGAAACCTGGCATAAAAGAATCACATGGCATATCACTGCATTACATAAAATATCCAGAATGGATCTATACAACATAAGAGTACATTCATGGTTGGATAGAGAGGACAGTTGGGGAGAAATGAGGATGATCACTAATAAATGGATTCAGGGTTTCTTTTTAAAGTGCTAAAAATGTAAAATTAAATGTAGTAGCTGTACAACTCTGAACATGTTAAAACCTCCTGTTAAATGTATGAAATTGTACCTCAACAATTTTATCTCAACAGCTGTTACATGTAAATTATACCTCAATGTTATGAGCAAGAAGAAATTTAAATTATAGCCATGGTTTAACAGAAAGAATAAAACTCATTAGTTACCTGAGAGCTTCTGAATGCTTCTTAAATATACAAAATCTTTTACTAGGACGGTTACTATGAAAGCTAGAGAGACAAAAGAGATTTTAACAATTTTAATATATCATATTAACATTTCAAGTCTATACTTAAGTATCTAATTTTTAACAAACAATCATGATCTAAGTACTAAATGAAATGTTTGTACTTCAACATTTAATCTTTTTCTTTCTTTCTTTCTTTTTTTTGATGTGGTATTAGGATTTGAACTCAGGATCTTGCATTTGCCAGACAGGCTCTGGGCCACTGACCTACAACTCTGGCCTTCAACTTTTTACCTTATATTCAATTTATCTTTTTACTTTCTTATGACATATATTTCCCATAAGTATTTCTAGATGATCAGTCATAATTATATAAAAAGGAAATGCTCAGTTAAAAAACTTTTTCCTCTATTAAGTATTAAAAACAATATTAAATTTTTGCTAATAACCTATTTAACTATAATTTCAATGTTGATTTTTAAAATCACTGTACAATATTTAAAATCATTATACATTTTAGTATAGAGGGAGAAAAATAGAATACAAATCTAGAAAGTAACACTACTTGGGCTAAGTGGTATTATTTACCATCTGTAAAGTCAAACATATAGAAGGGTTTTTGCAATTGCTAATAGAGGTTAAAAACAAAACTAAGGACAACTCAATACTTAAATGCTTCCCAGAAATAGAGACCAAAAGCTAACCACACTTTGCAGCTAGTTGCAGTAGCAGCCCTTATACAACCTTTTAACTCAGCTTCCAGTATTCGCATGCCAGGAAGAGAGAGAAAGCTGTGCCTCAGAGTCTGCGTGAACAAGCTTTTCCACTGATACCAACCCCATCCTGCCTGGTGCTACAGAGCTAAACCAGGGCTTTTAGAGCCCTAGGTAAGTGCTGTACCATTGAACTACACCCCAAGGATTTCACTGTTTCTTATATAAGCTCCAGTTTGAAATCAGTAGCCAGGACAACAGCCGAACTGTTGTGCCATCACACAGCCCCTGTGTATGAGAAAAAACCATTCTGGCTAGCTGTAACTCCCAGAAGACATCTCCCATGTTTCATTCAAATGGCCATTTTCCCAATCTGGAGGTACCTGCTATTACAGAGTTTAGAAATTAAGACAGTATCATGCAATTAAAGTTCTTTTTGAGAAGAGATCATGAGGAGGTTGGGAATCTTTGAAATTATATAAGAAATATGCATATACAACTGTTTCCTCAGAAGAACGAGTGCAGGATTTTGCCTGATTTTTTAAAAATCTGAAACAAAATGAGTTACTTTTCAAAATGAGATTTAAAAGCTCTTCCTCTTTAAGTAAACATACTGTTTTTTTAACTACCTATTGGGAAGAGGAGAGAAAAAAAAGATTATTTTAGGATCTACTCTATGTTAATTTATACTGTATTAAAATGTTGCGAACTAAAATTTTAATTGTCTGAATACAGCTATATTTAGAAATCTGTCTACAAAAGTCTTCTATAGCTTATTTTATCTATGTTGATTATACATATTGCACACTTCCGTGTACTGTAAGACTATAAAAGTGCCCCATGGTTCACTAAAAGAAGAATTCAAAAATGAACTTAAAAGAAAAAGCTCTGGGTTACAATACAACAAAAACATGCTAGAAAAAGTCTGCTATTGTCCAATGGTTCTACAGGAAATGATTGCAAGAAATTCAGCCCAGAATTTGGGAAGTGGCAAGTTATGGTGATATTTCAGAAAATGATGATATGACTGAATCTGAAGAAATACAGAGTTTTGTATATAAATATACAAGGATAAATCTAGATTGTTGAAAGAAAATAAGATATCCCCTGAAAATAAACCTAAGTGCATCTCTGGAGGAAAAATTAAAATAAAACCTTGGTCTTATTTTGGGGGAAATATGGTAGTTGAATTATGAATAAATTACACCTCAAAAACAATGTGAAAAGACCCTTGTTGGCCTTATTTTGCTCATAATTCTGATTCTATGTAAGTAATGACTTTACTTTCTAAGAAACACACGAAAAGCTATTTCCTTAACATCTAACATTGCTGATGGCATGGCTACTATCTAAGACACTAGACTAGTTTGTGACATAATACCAAAGAACGCCTGTCCCCAAGTTGACAGTTGGGGACAAGTGAGTAAGGGAAACGGATGGACAGTGGCTGGACAAAAATGCATGTCTTACTGGACATTAGCATTTGAAAAATGAATGAATACATACTCGTAAATAATTAATGTAAAATAAAAGTGAACGGTGACTTCTGTGGAGCTCAATGGTTGCTCTGAAGGAAAAGCAGAAGGCAGATAGGGTACAAACCAGCTAACCATCAGCTCAGTTAAGAAGGGATATAATCCATGCACACTGTACGCATGTAAAGAAAGAGCATGGTGAATTCCATTAGCACGGGATTTTTAAGCAAATAATTTTTAAACAAAATTTTTAAGCAAAAGAAAAGCATTCATTATTATTTGGCTCTAGACAAAGCAAAGAGCAACTGTGAAGATACGAAGAGATTTTTCAAGAACATAAAAACTGAAGGAGATGAAAATGAATTAAAAATTAGACCTTGAAAGGTCTTCTATCTTTCAGGAAATTTATCCTACCAATATTATGAAGCAAAAGGATTTTAGGCCAAAAACAACCAACCTGGCACATATACCTACTCTAGCAAAAGGACCTGGAAGAGTATAGGCAGAGCATCAATTACAATGCAATCGCATCTCAACTGTTCTTCTAGTGACGAGTGCCATTTAAGTCCATGTAAAATACAAGATGAGCGCAAGTGCAGCTTACGAACATTCAATGCTCTGTCTCACTCGCAGTTTAATAAGCACACATTTTCATGCCAGTTTTTTCCCGTGGGAAATTTTTAAAAATCATCCATCAAAGCTTTAGTGAAATATAAAAGTATTAAAGGAATCATCAGCAATTCCTTAGTGCTATCACTGTTATCACATTAAGCAGAGCAGTATATACACACTTATGTATCTCCTCCACTAAACTACAGGAATTAAAGTCAGGGATTTTTACCCCAACACATGATCTATTTATCACTACCAACCTATCATGCTTCTTCAAAGTTAACTGTCCCTTCCTAATAAATACATAAGTAGTATTGTTGAAATCAATGGCTGAAATGAACTCTGCTACAAAATAATCACCATTATTAGTAATCCCCATTAACTTAATTCTGCTATTTCACAGGTAGGAGAGAAAAAAAGCCTTCTTACACATCTTTTTGGAAGATTAACACTAATATTATACAATAATACTTTTTTTATATTTCAGATGATTCTTATTATAGTACTACTTAGAAGCTATAAATAAGGTATAATAATTTTAAAAGGTGACCCCTGAAAAATGGTATTATTTTTTAAAAAATCACTTAAATTATAAATTTAATCATGGTTTTCCTTGAAAGTCTTACTTCAATAATGTTCCAATTGCTTCAAAATTTTTAAAATAATTTTTGAGATAAAATTTAGGCCCTCTTAAACTTCAACAGTAATGACGAGCATCTGCAGTTTATAATGTGCTAGGTGATATAAAAACCACAAACAGCTCTTTCTCAGGGAATACACAAACACTACAATAACAGAATGTCACACAATTCACAGAAAGGAATGCTTGTAGTGACCACATCTTTTAAAGAAGGTAAACTGAGATGAAAAGACCTACGTATGAGTGGAAGCTTACTTCGGAGATAAACTAATGTGTGAGAATGGGACCCTATAAAATGGACTGGGAGAGGAAAGATCCAATGAAAAGTTCCAGAATGATATGGTATGGGGAGGAATCAAAGGTACCCATCCTCTGGAGCAAGTGAGTCTTTTCCACATACAGACGCCAAGCCTAGATTAAGCTCTACACCAAGGAAGGGCATGCCATTCAGTGGGAGACACAACTCATAGGTCAGGAAGGAATGCAAGAGTACCACTGATGCGGAGAAAAAGGAAAACACACCCAAAAACCCTGTCAGAGTGGAATGGAAAGAGCGTTCCATGAGGCTAATGATGAGTAGGAGCTGCACGACAGCCTTCAGGTTGGGGCTGAAGCTCACTATGAATTTGGGAAAGAGTAGGAAGGGCACCTAGGCTGAACAGGACTGTTTTGAGACTAAGAGGATGAGGAGGGTCTACAGCACAGGTAGGAGGACTGTGAATAACTGAGAGACGGAAAGGCAAGATTGTTCTGGGTTCTTCTTAAAATAAAATATTTCTCAATTTGTTCCACTATGAATTACGGGCAGATTTAAAGAACTACTTAGTAGCAATGTGTGTATCATAAAAAGACCAGCCTTTCATCCAGTAATTCACTAGGGGAGAGACATGTAGGGCCTGACTGACGATGCTGGGACATGAACATGACACCACTGCGGTGGGGAGGCGATGGGGGCTCAGGAAGCCATGGTGTGCAATAGACTACAGAGAACTTCACGAGCTTCAAACGTAAGAGAGTAAGTCATTTCCAGCTGGTGCACAAAAGTCACACAAATGATATCCTTGAAATTTCAGGGATAGTGCTTAACAGAGGAAGGCAGTCATAGGAATCTGAGACAGATGACAATACATGTGTATGTTGGGGGGAGATTATTGTTCTTCCAGAGATGCCAGTGAACCTGAGGTAGTCAAATAATCTACAAAACAGAAACAGAATTGAATCACAAAAAAACTAAGGATGGAAAGTAATTTAAGGTGGAAAGCAAAATATGAGAGAAGATAAATTTCTAAGAAAGAGAATGTATAGAGTTAAGGAAGACACACCAATGAAATAGAGAAGCAACCAAAAAGGTGGTAGGAAAAATTTAATAGAGGTTAAGTAGTTTCAAGAGTGAGAGACAAGGTCAAGCATTTTCATGGAGCTGAGGAAAAATAGGAATGACAAACAGCAAATAAATGTGGTAAGCCTTTGGCAGATAATCTTTAAAGGGACAGTACTATTTAATACAGGTAGATGATACTCAAAAGGTAAAAACAGATTAAATATAAGTTCATAATACTTTTTATAGATATTGGCAAAAAGTAAGGAAAAAACACATGGGGGAAAATTTCCCTTATTCTAAAAACAAGTAATAATTTTGAAAAGGTCTGAAAGGAATTAGGTTAATTCTAATTATTTTTTTAAATGAAACAATCTTACATTGTATAAACACATCATTAAGTTTGTATCTGAGCCAGGCGTGGTGGCACACACCTCGAATCCAGCACTCAGGATCCTGAGGCGAGGACTACTGACTTTGACCCTGGAGACACAGTGAGTCCAAGGCCAACCTGAACTACTGAGGGAGACCCTATCTCAAATGAATAAATAAAGTTTATATCTGAACAACTTTTGACAATTCTTTAAAAATAAAAATCCATCCTGAAGGAATAAAGTATTCTCTTTCTAGTAAGATCCAAAAAAACTACTCTGGGCCTCTGAAGGGTTTCCTTAGCAGAGTAATGACGGGTGCTCAAACTAAGTTGAATGAACCAATGACAAACACCTCCACTTGTGGCTTTACGACCAGAATGGTCGCTCATTTTCACTAAATGGATATAACTATGGATGGCTGGCTGTATATGTAGACAGCAGGCATATCACACAGGAAGACAGAATAGAGAAAAACCACCTTCTAATTAGATAACTTTGTTTCCAAAGCAAACATTTCCTGAACTAGAATTGCCAATTTACAGGTTTAATTCATCTTACCTCATCATATGATTTACATAGGCTTTGCTACAGCTAGTGTTGTATCTGCAAAAGCTACAGTGGACGTACGTAGGAAAATGGTTTGTAAAATCTTTTACTTCAGAGCAACATTCAATGCACTTGTGAACACCACGACGAAACCTTTAATGGAGACATGAAGAAAATGATATAAATACATTTTAAAACAAAACCAAAAGAGACAGCTGTATCACTGTTCTATTAACTAAAAAGTGTAATGTTCTAAGTTAAGTTTAAAGAGGTATTACACAGGGATAAAATATTACCTTAAATTCCTCAATGCTGTATTAACTTTACTCTTTTTATTGCTATTAGCCAATGTATTTTGTTTCTTTTGTACATTAGGTATTTTTGATTTGTATTTAGATTTATTTCCATTAGGTTTACTTCCAGTGGATTTGGGTGTACTGGGTTTACTTGTGTTTAATTTTGTGGGACTTTTTGCAGTTAAATTTTTTGTCCGTGGAGGTGAGAGCTGAAGGATAGAAGTACTTGCACTGATAGAAGGTGTAGGTGAAGATCCTGATTGAAGGGGTGCGACTGAAGCTCGAATAGTAACCTACAAAAGTGAAGAAAATATCTACTTTAAAAAATTAACTATTAATATTAAAATAGCACTGTACAAAAGAAAATAAACATCAACTATTTTGAAATGACCACAGATTGACTATAATTAGGTTTCTTCTATTTGCACTAAATGTTCAACACAATTAAATGAAATTAAACTAGGTATTTATTTACTTGTAATATTACATTTTGTATTGATATCAGTTATGTTAACAGTTATTAATGGATAATTAGGAGTTAATACAAATTCTATGAATATCAACAGTACACTTCATAGCCATTTTAATGCTGATAGTTTTAAAAATTCACATAGAGCTCAAAATTTAAATTGTAAGTCTGAAAAATAACTCTAGAAAGGTCTATATTACCTCTGACAACTATAAAACAAAGATTTACAGTAAATGCAACCTCGTGTTTCTGGGGCTTACTGACCAAAACTTAAGTTAACAAATGTTTTAAGAAGGGTTACATCAATTTATTACATATGTAAAGAGTTTAATATTTAGCATTTTCTTAACAGGAATTAATACAAACTATTATTTAAAGTGAAGAAAGAAAATAATTGTATGTGTTGCTCAATAGTAGGAAACACAATTGCCCGTTAACATTCTCATTAAATCATTTAGCCATATTCTTTTCATGTATTTGAGGAACAGCATAACAACCTCCTGCAAAATACATGTGTCTAAGTGTGATACAAAAGCACTATGCCAGGAAACAAAGGATCTAAAGTTACATCTCATGTTACCCTTTCCTAGGCATGTGACCTTAAATTAATAACTCATCTTCTGTAAGCTTTTTAAAATCTGTAATATAGGGGAATCCTTGATTGCTGTATGGATTAAATAATAGATGTATGAAAAAGTATACCAGAAGGCTAACTCTAAGGTGCAACATAAACATTTAGTACCATTATCATTAATATTATTATTATTAATACGGGAAGAAACACGAAGAGGACTGCACTGCTTACATTAGTGTTCTGCATGTCTAGTCCCAGCATGAAATGAATGGACTGCAGGGAAGGATGGTTGGATAGCTTCTCTTGCTCTAGGTCTTCAGAGTATGGCTTTATATTGTTTTAGTTAATTCGATAATAGACATACCCACATTCAAAGTAAGAACCCAAAGCCAAATATAAATGTTTTTGGGATTATTTCACTTTGGATTATCCATGCCTCTGTTTCCCTCCAGTGGAGCAAATTTCAAGAGCTGACTGTATATAAAGAAGTTAGAGAAAGCAGATGCATATAAGGCAAAAAGGGTAAAGTAAATTCCAATAGTCAGTATGTTGTCACATGTGTTTGCTCACTTAAAAACACAACGCTGTCCAGCAGCAGAACTTGCTTCTGAGTGTAGACCCAGAAATGACAACTTCAACAAACATTTGAGAACGTAGGGTATTTAAGGCATTACTCCAGATACTAGAAATACAAAGATAAATAAAATGATTCCTGACATCAAACGTCTTAAGAGTTTAGCTGCAACAACTGACACACACAGTACCAACTGGGATGGTTCAAAAATAACCTATACCGAAAACAACCCTCTGACCCAGGGAAAAACTACTCTAGTTGCACTTACTAGGAAGGAATACCATTCCAACATAGCACCTGCCAAGACATACGATGGCACCTTGGTTCATAAACTGAATTTGCCCACAATTCTGGAGAAGATGGCTGCCCATTCGCTGTATTTGCTGCCCAATGCAGAGTTCACAAACAGAAAGTTTTGCCCAATGTTTCTGTCTGCAAACCAAATTGTTCGTAAACGAAAGCATTTGTGAAACAAGGTACCACTGTACTCAATACATAAATCCAGGCAGGAGTTTTATAAAACATTAAAATACACTATATTTTAACTCACTTTTGTTCCAGGAGGCAATCCTTCTAGTTGTTTAGGTTTTATAAATGTTCGATGATGCTGGGTCTTGTGATCCAATTTTTCCTTGCATGTCAAAAACTGCAACCTGCATTTTGTACAACGATGTATTCCTTTTTTCTGGTAGAAACAGAAAAAAAGGAGAAAAAAAATTTATAAAACCATAAATACATATGTGCTGAAACTGCTCTAACTTAATTTTAGTGGCAGTTTGCTCTCTCAGCATAAATAATATCAAAATATCATTTCATTTCTTAAATCTTAATTAATATTTGTCCTTCAACTGTTTATTACAATATCTCAATGCAATATGAACAGTCCAGTAACAGGTTCTAATGAATGTTCTGTCAGTTGTGATGTGAAAGCTCTTCTAATTATAAATCTGAAGCATTTAAGGACAAGTATTGTGAAAACAAGCTACCCTTTGCTTAACACAGAAGTAAACAATCTTATAAGCTTTTGTTATTTCCAATTGGTTGACAAGTTAGTAAAATAAAGACTGCAAAGCCATGTAAATCTTCAGTAAGTATTTCAAGGAAGGTTATGTTATAGAAAGGGTTACATAAAAAGCAGTCTTGTTCAATAAAACTTTCTGCAAGGACCAGTCTCAATCCGCGCTGTCAAACATGGTAGCCCCTCAATTCACAGGGAGACGGTCACTGGGCGCTTAAAACGCGGCAGGGTGACCAAGGAATTCAATTTGTAATTTCAGCCAATTTCAACTAAAACTGTACCATGTAACCAGAGGCTACCACCCTGGACAGTTTGCTACGGAGCATAAAAGAGCACACCTGATCCTAATCCACCTACAGGCTGAGATTCTCAAGGCGAGTCTTCCTAAAGCCTTGTGCTCGTACTACTCCACAGGTGGGGAAGGAAACGCAGGAAGAATCTACTCTCTTTGCCATAAACAGGAACACTGCCAAACTGCTGAGCCAGTGTTCTTCTACTATGGTACATCAACTGACATCTTCACCTACTGCTCACATTACTGTGAAACCTATTTATATGGTTATGGATATACATATAATGATACATTTAAAACAATCTGTAACTACGAAGGGAGGTCTTTAACTTTCATCTCTGTTAGATATCACTACTTGTATTTAAATACAACCATTTATAAAATTCAAGTAAGATGATGCAGAGGGATGTACCTAGCACAGTCACTGGTACACAGCAAGCATTTTATAAGTAAAGCCATGGGCATCAAGTCCCATCCTGAACCACATGTTCTCACTCATGCGGAATAGAAAGGAGTGGATCTTACAGAAGTAGAAAGTAGGGGGCAGGCAAAGTAGGATAGTCTGGGGACAGGGAAGGTCAGAAAATGGACAACAAAATACAGTTAGATAGCAAGGATTGCAGTGTGGTAGCGCATGCCTGTAATCCCAGCACCTGGGCAGCTGAGCAGAAAAAAATCAGTGAGTTGGGAGGCCAGCCTGAGCCACATCGTGAGATCAGGGCCAGCCTGAAGTACACAGTGAGACCCTTCCTAAAACAAACAAACAAACAAACAAAAAAGGATATGCAGGCTATGTTCTAGTATTCTACAACATGGCAACGTAACTATGGTTTGTTTGTAACAACTCTTACATATTTTATAAACAACTAGAAGACAGAGATGCAAACGTACCCAACAAAAACAAACGGTACACTCATTAATTGGAATGGCTTTATTCTGGGCTGTTTGATATTATGGCCTGTGATGCAATGAACAGCTACTTTGAAGAAAATAAGACATAATAATAGTTAGTGCTAATTTAGTACCATCTTGTCTTAAAGCCGCACCAAACTATGGTTCTTCTGTCTCCATTGATTTTACCATGTTGTAACTTGCTGGATTTTATCGTATGTGGTAGTATAAACAAAAATTGTTATAGGCAAAGAGATAATATAGAAACCATTGATCATTTTTTCTATTAGCTGGTTCTAAATACTCTACAATGCTTTCATCCACTTGAATGGTGTTACAGAGTCTTGATATGTTTGATGCTATAGCATATGAAGTTATATTCAAATGTTTCAAAGAAAAAGACACTATGGTAACTACTACTAAGTCGGGTTATTTGGTGGTGAAGCAGTAGGTTGCTGAAAGTGTCATGCTTTAACCTGTATTCTTATGTTGTTATGCCCCCTTTTATCTCATCCTCTCCCTTATTCATTAAAAAATTATTTAATTTAAAAACAAAACAAAAAAACAAATGGTAACTATTTGAGAGGGAAATGCTAATTACCCTCATTTGATCATTACATACTGTATACAAGTATCAAAATGTAACACTGTACTCCATGAATATTGTATGTATAATTATGCCAATTAAAATTACTTTAAGAAATAGGAAAAAGTTTATTACATATTCAAAGTATTATATAAGAATAGTATGTTAACAATTCTAGTTGTATCTTCAAAGTAGTATACTGAATTATATCAAAAGGATACACTCAAGGAAGAGGAAGAAAGAGAAAAAAAAAACTTGGGCAAGAAACAAATGCCCCAACACCAGGGCAGAAATACAGTTCACCACAGCTTCTTTCCCAAAAAGCTTTTCTCCATTAACACTTCCTAGGTTATCTCATCCAGTTCCATGACTTTAATACCATGAATCCAACAGCCCACTTGACATTATTCCTTGATGGGTAATCATGCTTCTCAAATCAACATGGACAAAAACCGCACTCCAGATTGCTTCTCTGTCTCCTTGCTCCCATGTTCTATACATGTTCTTTCCTGTCTTTCTCACAGCTTAGAATCTGGGAACACCTCAGTCACTGTCAAATTCCACATCTACGTCACATTAATAAGATCTGCTGGTTCTACTTGTACAAGTATTCCTTCTTTCCACTGGTCACTGCTTCCAAACAAGGCTATCACCCTGGTCTAGTCATTCATTCAGACTACAGTACAATTTCCTTCCCTTTTCTTTCTGTATTAGCCAGAGGTTCTTAAAATATGCCAGATCTTCCTTTAATACCTTCCAGTGGCTTTCCAAAGTCCTGACTCTGGCCTGCCTGTTATTGCTACAACCTTGTCTCCTACTATTGATCCTCCCAGCCATACTACCTTCCTTTCCTATCTTTGAGTGCAGCACAAATATGCACACATATAACTATACGTGTATACGTATTTTAACATATATATACACACATTTACTCACTTTACTGCCTACACTGTGTATCACATAAAAGGGCCTATTAAAAGTAATATTAATATTAATGACCACCCTGGATGCGAAAGAACAACTCCTCCCTTCATACGACCTCCCCTCTCCTGGGTGCTCCTTTCTGCATCCCTCCCCCACAGTACACCAACATATACATTGCAACATAAATCCATACACACACATTACCTTTCTACACTAATGATGCAAATTCTAAAAGACAGACTTTGCCTTAGCTATACAACACCTAAAAGAGCCCTTGGCAGGTAGTGAAGCAATCTAAATAAATACCTGCTAAATAAACAGGCCGAAAGCAAGTTCAAAATGACTGCCATTCTACTCAAATGAACTGTTCATAGGTTTAAAAGAAGATTCCAATTTACTATTCCCTCAAAGCCTTACCCAACTCACTTAAGTATATGTGCATACATCTCATTGTGTTAAGATGAACATATAATATTACAGTTTTTTGGTAACACAATGTTCAAACAAAAAACCAGCAATCCTTGCCAAGTACATAGAGAAATACTATTTGCAGCGTGCATGTGTGTGTGTTACTGGGGACTGAACCCAGTGCTGTCATACTGACCTACATTCCAGTCTTTTTTTTTTTTTTTAAGCCATTAGGTTGCAAAGGCTGGGCTCAAACTTGAAATTCTCCTTCTTCAGTCTCCCAAAGGCTGGAACAACAAGTGTGCACACCACACTTGGCTTACAATGTATTTCTTAATGAGCACACTGCGCTGTTCAAGTCTCACTGTATGTAATTCCTACCTCTGGACTTAATGCCAATGTGAAATCCAATTTAGCCCCTGAGTAATAAAGTTTGGGCTCTAATGTCAAATTTTGAGTCTGTTTTTTAATAAACAATGTGATATTAATATAAAATAGAAATAAAAATATGCATACAGTTGTTGTGCAGATGAAATGAGAAATGCATGAGTAGACAACACAGTGCCATATAGTAAATGATTAGCATCTATAAACTGATTATTTTATTAAAGATCTAATACATTTATTTAATCAAAAAGTATAGTCTTTCTTCTTTGCTTTAAACTATGTAACTGAAATACCATGCATTTTTTCTTATGGTGATTTACAAGACCTTCAAGCCAATATACCTACCATGTAAACATTCATCCATTTGAGCATACACCTGCACAACATCTCCTATCTTTCAGCAAGAACACTAAAGAGAAAAGACCTGACACAACTAATTAGGTAAAATGAGAACCTGCTGCAAGTATTTGTTTCTCTGAGGTAAAGGCATCACACACCTGTTCAATTAAGAAAATCATGCCTACAATTCAAGATGCTTTAGTTTTAAGCAGGGCCAAAACATACTCGGCCGTGATTAGACAGGGAATGCCGGAGCTACGTCCCCAGCCTATGCCATGAATTCATGGGGAACAGGTTCCAGCATCCCAGCATCCCAGTCTTCCCGTCAGTTCTTGCACAGTGTGCTTCTCTGGATGTGGCAGGCTGGCACTTCTGCTGAACCCAGGCAGGTACTTTTCCCTTTGGCTTCCTTCTTCTAACATTTTACTTGATGTGTTTCAGGAAGATGCCTCATCTTAAAATGTGTAATATAATTCATATGCACATTAATTCTCCTGGCAAGAATCTTGCCTCAACTTGCTGATACAACAATGCCAGCTCTTCCAGTTTGCCATGGTGGTATGTGTATGGCATTCCTTTTTGAATAGTACCCACTCCCCTGTGGTCCACACTGTCACTCTTTTGGTAGATTTGTATATATGTGGCCAAAGGAAAAGCCCCATGTTTGCTAACAGGCCTAGAGAACATATGCAGGGTTTTTCTCCTCTTTCTCTTTTATGTAATATCATCTTAGCAAATTCCTGGAGGATGGTGGTTCTAGCTAAAAGAAGACTTATTATTTCTTAAAAGTTATAAAAACTAGGTTCTTAGCTCTATAGTAACCTAGAACAGAGTTATTTAATCTTTTTTTTACAAAATGTTATAAAAGTTACCCAAAAAAGCTATGACAGAGCTCTTCAAATACAATAAAATGAGACACAGAATCAGTGATTCTTATTGGCTAATACTACACTAATAATGTCACCTCTATTACAAGTTTATAATACCACTCGGCTATAATTTTCTAGTCTTTCATAAAATTACAGGAAGTGTAAATATGTTAAGAGGGTGTTTGATGGTCTTTGTTATTAAACATAGATTACCACTTTTAACTGGGCTTTTACTACTTCCCAGGGACACAAAACAAACAAAAAAGAAAACTAAGCACCAAGGCAACTCTGGATCTGAAGAGTTCATTATACAATTACATAGCCCACATACCCTGATCAGTCATCATAATTCCTACGTTTATACCTCACCGAGAGCATAATAAACCAAAATAAACTTAAAAATCTCATGATAAAACAGCCACTGCTGCAAACCTCAGTTTCCCTTTCAAAGCCCACAAATAAAATGTAGAATATTAAGAACAGTGTTTCCCAAACTGTTTATCAAAATAATAATAATAATAATAATAATAAAAGAAAAACAGCTAATAGGCATTGTTCAAACAGAGTTTGGTAGTCAAGTTTGAGAAATGATACAGTCCATCTTGGAGCCATACAATGCCCATTAGCATAAGAAAAGCACCAAGAAGCCTGGACTGAACTGAAGCACCAACTTGCCAAGCAGGTGATTATGCCACTGAGCTAAATCTCCAGCCCCCAATTTTTTTTAAAGCAGCCCCATTTTTAGAGAGACAAAAAATTCCTTAATTCTATATATTTAAGCATTTACTAAATTTATTAACCAGAGACTATTTGGGGCAATGTCTCTTTAATACCTGATGAAATTTGTTGGGGAGACCCTAGAATAGATCGTGCCAGAATTTCTCAAGGATAGATGATATTCCAGTGACAACATAAGTGATCCCTAATTCATTTGGAAATTCTACTTTTATGATCTTTCTGAATAAAAAACAATAAAATGAGTTAATGATTATATAGCAAGTAAAGTTGACAGCAAAGTGAATACCCATGACCAACTGGTATGCCAATGTAATTGATAAGAAAATGCACTGAGGCTTTACAGTAATAATAGGAAAACCTGATTAGATAATCAGATCTAGAAAACCCATCAGCTTCTGAATTTGACAAAAGCACTATTGCTCTTTCAACCACTCAAGAATAGGATTAGAGTTATATCAACACTTTTAGCTGAAATAAAGGATGGTTTCATTTCTTCAGGGAAAAAAGCTTAACAGCAGAATTCTTCAAAAGGATATTAATCCAGAGCAGAACTAGTCAGGATCTAAATTTGGTTGTCTGACAATCTAAATTTAGTTGTCTGGCATAGTTTTTATACACAACCTTAAACTGGGTTTATGATGACAACAAATCATCTCATAATACTAACAAAGGGTTAGAAAGTAGACAAAATTTGAAGAGAAAAAGTAGAAGATAGACTCTTCGATCAATTGCTTCTTGGTTGACACTCATCTTTTCCCCTCCTTTTGATAAGTCCCTTCTAAACCATTCTCTAATCTTTTGTACATTTCACTCATCTCTTTTTTCTCTCAATGCCACAGTTCCTATTTCTATCCATCTTTCACAACTTTCATTATTTATATGTCACATCACCAACAGAGAAAAAGAAAGGAAAAATGGAAGTCTCATATGTAATTCTGGATAAACTATAAATAACTTATACAACTTGGAACAACCCTGTTTCCCTTGCAGAACAAATCTAATCAATGATCTGAGCTATAATAAATCTTTTTGCTAAGACATCACAAGAAAGAATCCGTAAATCTCACCTGATGCTTCATATAATGATGCATATAGGGTGTTGCAATTTTAATAACTTTGAGGCAAAACGGACACAGCAAGTTCTTAGTGTTTTCATGGGCTCTTCTGAAATGAGCTTCTACATCAGAAAATGATGATGATCTATAATTACAAACCTGAAGACATGAAATTAAAAAATAACAGAAATGGACCATTTGTTTAGAAAAACATTATGTACCATTAACCTAGCCCATGCCTACAAAAGTAAAATTCCCACTCAAACAAGAACCAAAAGAGAAAAACAAAGTTACTTTTCAAAGGAAGGAATGCTTCCTAAAACATAATTAGGGTCCCTACTCTTTATCTGATAATTTACTTTCATCCCCTATTTTGATTTAAGTTTTGTGTTCTGGCACCTCCTGTCATGTAAAATGTTTCTGATACATAAAATAACATTCTCCTTTAGATTATATAAATGGTCTCCAGACTATAACAGTGACAACTCGTCTTTTTCTTCCTAGTACTTCAAATTCCGAGAAAATATTAGTCCCAAAACATTTGAGAGGATTCTTCACAACGGCAATTTTTATTTGCATCCTATTCCTCTCTTCTTCCCTCAGTGTAAGACGCATCTCCACACACTGGTCTTTCTCCAGGAGCCTCAGCCTTGTCCTGTCCAGGCCAAGCCAGCCTGCTGTACACATCACCTCCGGTGGCCCACAAGTTAGACCACTCACTCACTTATAAGACAGGCTTTAATTCCAGTAACCAATATGACCTAAGTGGCTAAAAAGTGAAGTAATAATGCATTTCATGACATGGAAACTATGAAATTCAAGTTTTGGCATCCATAAATAAAGTTCTACTGAGAAACCGTAAACTCATTTAACTGCCTACTGCTGCCTTTGTGCCACAGTGGTGGCAGAGCTCACTGGCTGCCAGATACAGCAACCCTCACACTCTGATGTATTTATCCTCTAGACCTTTACAGAAAAAAAGGTTTTAGACACTAGGTGAAAGTATTAAAATCTTACAATCAAAACAACAAACAAATCAAACAAATGCATAACACAATAAAATGTGCTTGTACCTGGCAGATATATGGCATTTCACCCGGTTTATGATTGTCCTTCATGTGTTGTAAAAGAACATGTTCTGTTTCAAATGATAATTCACAGATTTTACAAATAGCTAAAAGTTGGAGGGAAAATGGCATTAAAACATTTAATATACAAATATTTAAAAATTCATTTTACAAGTCAATATCAATGTTACAGTTACAATAGCAACACTAGTTGTAGATTTGGTGACCAATTACATAGTTGTTAACTGAGTACCGAGCAGTTTCAAATACCTCACACTTACATTAACTCCTATAAAAGTATTATGAGAAAGGCATTCCGTTTATTCTATTACTCAAGCAGAAAGTAGCCTGCATGAATTTATAGAGCTATAATAAGAGGTAGATCTGGACTCTGAACTCAAGCTGTCCAGCTCTAAAATGTGTAATTTTTAATTACAATTATTATTATTTTCCTTATTAAAGTTTAAGTGAAGGGCACTGATTTTATGTTTCAAAACTATGACCTTAGGCTTCCAACTGATTCTCCACACCCTATGTATAGGTTACACCAAAGTAGTTATTATAATGAATTATTTGCAAGAAAGACTTTAGTTTTAGTAAATAATTTTATTTTAAAATATATTAAAATTAAAACAAATTCATTTTAACTCCAAATTCCAAAGTCTAATTGTTATTCTTATTTTCTAGCAGAACTTACAAGCTTGAACAGCTCCCCCTAAAGAAATCAGTGACACTCAACACTGAAAAGAAACGGTAACATACTGGAGAACTCGTGTGGGGTGTGAGTGCTCTCGATGTGGCACTGCAGCTGGAAGGGGGTGGGGAACTGGCGGTAGCAGTGCTGGCAGGTGGTGTGGTTTTCCCAGCTCTCGCTGCTCTGCTTTTCCAGTTCCAAATGGTGTTTCATGTGGTTCATGAACCTATAAAACAATTTTCAACAGGTGCAAAAATTCAGATTTAAAACAAAAGGAAAATCTCATCAGTAAGCAGATGAACCTAACTACTAAAAACATGAACTATTACTGAAAATAAAATCCAAAAAGTCCTCTGGAAAAGTGTGCATTTTAAATAATCACTTCTTTTAAATTGCTAAGTAAACATCTTTTCATCTGTTTTAAAATAATTTATTATATTAGTGATATTCCACTAATTTGAGCTATTATTATTTTAGGTCTTAAAAATTTTTCGATAAAGCACCAGTCTTCAATATGAGGTATTATTTGTATTTTAAAATAAACACTGAAAGCAAGGCATCTAAAGAGTCATAGGAGAAATCTTTCAAGGATTTAAAGATGTACAATAGATTCTACCTGCCTAAAAGAGAAATTACTGGTATTTTCGCTTGTTTTACATGCATTTAAAAACCAAGACACAACTATAATGCTACACTTTACAAGAACCCTTTGTTTTACTTAAAGATCCTGATTTACTGTGAGCACAAACTGTCCATTCCAGCTAGCAGACTGTGCCCTTTCTAGGCTGTCTCCATCTCTGTTTTACATTCTGCTGTTTCCGCCTCCCTTAAAAGGCTTCTTGTGAGCAGGAACGCTGACCTTCAACAGCAGAGAGCAGCAGAAATGGGAACACTTACATGAAAAAGCTTATTACAGTTGTTCACTGAATTTGAAAATAAAGTTATTCAGTTAAAACAATTTCTGGACTGGGTCTACTATCAGTAACTACTCATAGCAAGGCCCTAAATATGGTAATTTTGAAACTAGGTGATAATGTCGTCCATCTGGCCAACAGTCATCATCCCTTTCTCCTACCTCTACAGAACTACTCTTTATAGCAGGCTCTGGTATGCTAGAAACAGCTTTTCCTCCTCTGGTTTTTAGCACTAGCTCTAGAAGCCCTAACAGAAAATCCTTTGTTAAAATCCCAGGACCAGTGAGTTTTCAGAGTACAGCTCTGAACGCTTCATAACATCTCAGCGAGTCCCCTGAATTCTCCTATATCACCACAGAACCCACTGCCTGGAGCCTCACATCTCTCACACCAATGGGTGGGAATGGGAATAGGGGCCAGAGAACAGGGAACAGAGTTAACGTGTTTTCAGTGACACTCAATTAGAGAAAAAAACAAAAACCACACTAGCTTGTTCACAGGTAAAAGTAGAAATCTTAAGCTCTTTGTTTCCACTCTAATGAAAACTACAATTTGCCTTCCCAATTTTATTGAGAAAAACAAAGGCAAAATATTGAATATTACATTTAATTTTAGTCATGAGGTGCTTATCATTAAGGTTACACTTATCAAACAATATTTTTAAATGTTCAATTCATAAACATATCAAATGTAGTATGCTTAAAATTTCTGAAATAGTCTGCTAACAGGTATATGTAACTAGTCTCCTGAAACAATTCCCAGAAAAAGGAATTTTTCATTTTCATGCTCAATATTAAATGGGTTCATCTTATATAAATCCAAAACCTAATGCTAAAATAACATAGCATGCACCACATTTAACAAGGAATTAAGTCTCTGCCTTATCTGTTAACATGACTTTCTGGCATAGTTTTATATTAAAATAATGATAAGAGTATGAAAATAGGTAGAAGAGTTATAGTACTGTATCAGTGTTATATTTCAGGTTTCTTTCTGTTAAACTACTGAGACTATTAGTTTTGAGATGGTTGTTACAGTATGATAAAAGAAGGCAAAGAAAAATGAAAATTATTGCAAAATAAATATGGGATAAGGTTTCAAAATTATAAACACTACCATAAAGAAACCATTAATAATTATTATAGGAGAAAACCACAAAAGAAACCCAGGAAAATAAAGAAATGCTGCGCCCAGATGTAACTGTGATTAGAAAATGCCAGTTTAGATGATAGTTATCAAGAATAAAAGTCATACATACATATGTATGTATATATCTGTGTACACTAACAAATATATCAGATGCAAGGAAAGTACACTCATACCCACAACTTACTTTGACACAAATCACCAAAAACTCAAGACAGTATGAAGGAAGGATGAAGAAAAACATGATCAAGCAAGAAGAATAAAACACTGAGTAGTATAACCAAGGTGGTAAGTACACAGAGTCCAACATAAAGTTTGAAATTTTTTGATGAGTAACTTAAAATTTTTGCAATAAAAAGGCAGAAAAAAATCACCTTTCCCAATATAAATATCAGGTTCTATAAGCAAGAAAAACATCATTCAGTGTCTTTACTTTGTTCTTATTACTGACATATCTTTCTAACATATCATATAACTAGAAGACTAAAGTTCCTGATATATAATGTATCTGTGTATACAAAATCAAAATTCCACTGGGAATAAAAGTAAATTTTTAAAATCAAAGCAGGAAGTCTTTCCTGAACTGGTAAAACTCTAAAACTAGATCACTTTTTCATATAACATAAATGTTCGAAAAATTATAACTTGAAAGATCTGAGCATTAAATTATTAAAGAGAAGGTCAAACTGGACATATCTGAAGAAGCTCCTTCTTGTAAAGAGAAAAAAGCAAAATTCAAAGACATACACAAAATGAAAAATGCCAATAAAAACTCTTAGATACTACTAGAAGAAAAATAAGTTCATTTTATCTTACAATAAACTTTGTCTTTTCTTAAGCTATTGCAAAAATGTAAACTGATCCAGGAATCAAAAGTATAAGAAAGGATAAAACCTTTCTAACAAGAAAATCTGCTTTTATTCTCAGAATCATAGCATTAAAAAAAAATCAAATCAGAAATATAACATTTGTATCTATAGCATTTCAACTTTCAAATAGAAATGAAAGTAAGTATTTACATACCGAATATTATTTTTTAGAACTTTCAAGCAACTGAAGCACTTAAAGGTTGTATGAGTCTTCTGTTCTTCCTGGACTTCTCCTTCATGTTTTCCATAGTAAAAGTCATTAACTAACATGATCAATTTTCCTTTCTCTGAATCAACAGGCTTATTTGCTGTGTTTGAAAATTCTGTTTCAGCCAGTCCCAAAAAATTATTTATCATGTCTGGACAACAATACTGAAAGAGAAAAAAATAGAAACCTTATTTATTTTAAAAAAGAAAATGAAAAAAGATTCTGTGTTTACAACTTAGGCCAGACCATGTAAAACTATGCTTAAAAAAAAACTATATTTGAAAAAATAGTCACCAAAAATTTGTGGCACATCCACACTCTAAAAGATTCAGAGAATAAATATCTACTACCTTAATAAACAAAAATTTTTTTTCAAAAAAAATGAAAAACTTTAAAACCAGGACTTGGCTGTAGACTGAATACTTTTCCTTTGCTATTTGCCCTTTTCATATACATTTAATAATTTCTTGCTTGGTCAAAAGTCATTCATTTTGTATCACTGTCAAGAGTATAGGAAGGAAATGTGTTTTACACTCCTTGATATATATTTTAATTATTATGTGGTATATAAAATATTATAAAGTCTGATTGGAAGTAACCTGAACACAGCTAACGTGTGATTCCCCAGAACCAAAATACTAGAAAATATATGAAATGCATGTTTTTTCTTGATATCCAAAATGCTTAAATATTTGAACTAATATTTACCTCCTCATGAGTCAAATCAAGGCGTCACATAAACTTTTCCCAATATGCAATACTTTTATACTTGAGCATTTCTTTTTCCAACAAGATATAACCAATTCATTAAGTGTACATAATTTCTCTAAAACATTGTTTGTTATAAGAGGTCAAGCCCAGGAAGACAGACTCTGAAATAGCCAAACGTGCTAACACGATAACTGCACCAAATCCTAGTATTTGGGAGGCTGAGGCAAAAGGATAAGCCATGAGGCCCGCCTGCCTACACTGTGAGTTCAGGCCACCCTGAGTTACACAAGGTGAGACTGTGTCTCAAAAAAAAAACTAAAATAAATCAATGAAATACAGTGATAACTGGTGAACCTGCTTCAGACCAGCTAAACCATAGCATCTAGACACAGGGCTTAAAAGCTGTATTTTTTAACAAGAACCCAAGAAATTCCTTTATAAATGACATGTTTCCTAAATGTTACTTATTAAATACAAAGAAAAGTTTCAAAATCTAAATACAAACTTCCAGTCTTCCTTTTATGCCACATTTGAAAAGTTAACCAGGAAAATACTGTATATTACAAGAGAATCCTTCTACTGAAGATAGATTTATAACATTTCCTTCAAGATTGGACTATTTATTTTGCGTCACTTGTCAACTTTAAAATCTACAATGAAAACAAACAAAAAATCCTCAAAGACTCTAAAACAAAGAGAAAGACAAAACTACTAAATAAATTGGACCAACAAAGTGACACAGAGCACAGCGTGGTGGTACACATCTGTAACTCAAGCACTTCGGAGGCTGAGCCAGGAGGACTGCCCTGAGTTTGTGGCCAGCCTGGGCTTCAAACTGTAACTTCAAGGGCAGCCTGAACTATTGAGAGATTTTGTCTCAAAAAAAAAAAAAAAAAAAAAAAAAAGAATGACATAACTTACCCTTATATATATTTAGAATTGAGGTTACGCCCATAAGCAAAATTCAGACAAACACGTTAGCTCTATAATGTACTGTAATTCACTACTCAGAATAAATTAGTTGAAATGAAACCAAAATGAAGACAAAGATTAAAAGAAGTGTCTCTATTCATGTTTCTAGATTCTTCTAGCTACATATGTCAGTGCCAGCTGGGTGTGGTGGTGCAAGCAAGCCTGTAAGCACAGTAGTTGGGAAGCAGAGGAGGAGGAGGATCACAAGTGTGAGACCAGTGAGTCTACATAATGAGCTCCACGCCAGCCTGAACTACACATGAGACCTTATCTCAAAAAACAAACAACAATAGAAATTGAAAGGCAGGAAAGGCAGGCTATTTCAGTCTTTCTATAGGGAAGATCTCTAGCAACAATGGGGGGAAATTATATATTTAATCATTTATTTATGGCAGTACTGGGAACTGAACCCCAGGCCTCAAGTCAGACTAAGTAAGCCCCAATGGCTGATCTACATCTCCAGCCCAAAATGTGGATAATCTTATACCCCAAACATCTCATTAAAACATGGCTTTCAACAAAAAATATTCTGAGTCATATTTGGCATCTGATTCTTTCCTAAAATCTACAAAATAATCTAAATAATCTATAATAGAGTATACTGCAGGGTTTATATTTCCAGATGTCTAATTGAGTATCAATGAAAGTTAAAGATTATTCTAACACACTCATAACATATGATATGCATAACACATGATGACTTGCTATTCTTTTTCTTATAGAAAAGACAGGATCAGATTTTTAAAAATACAAAGCTTATATGCAATGCCTTTCAAACAATGTTTTCAATCCCTTATGAAAAAGCCTAATAATATAAATCACTGACAACTAAAAACGGATAACAAAATATAGCAAAATTTAAGCAAGCAAAATATCTTAAGAGAAAATACCCAAAAGGCAAGAAAGGAACCTGAGAAATGATAAATAAGCTTAGACTCAGGTTTCCTGTGAGGGCTGTAAGTTGTGTACTGTGCAGCTGAGCTATGGTAGTCTTTTATTCAGCTCCAGGACCCTTTTGGTTCCAGCCCTTCACGACAGCCCTTTATGTATCCCTTATTTTCCTGGGTTAGCCATCCTCCAACAGTGAACACATCTGATGCCCCATACCAGGGACGGAGAACCTTTTGGAGCTCTCAGTATCAGCCCACCATGGCACACATCACAGGTTCACCACCCCTGCCATATACTACACTCTGGCAAAAATCAGACACTACCTGCACAGCTCTCATCTTTATACTTCCTAGTACACGGACCAGATTCTACTGTTTCTTAGAGCACAGAAAATTAGAAATTTGTTTTTTTTTGCTTTTTGAGATGGCTGTTTTCTCCTTGTATGAACATCCTGCATAAGTCAACACTTTTTGCTTTTCAGGTTGAAGTCATACAAAACCAAACAACCCAATTTCACAAATTTGATTTTCACTGAAACTAAGAGCCAAATTAAATCCACAGACACCATAATATGTACACAACACTACACAAAGCAGCCAAGGGGAAAGGCACCGAGTTGGGAAATCAGACAAGAGGACAGATCTGATAGAGTAACAGATCTGAAGAGAGTCAGGAAGGGGACTGGAAACAGAACACTTGACTAGCATGCACAAACTCCTGTGTTCAAGTCACAGCACTGACAAAACAAAAACAGTATCAGTAAAAATATACATCCCGAGGATAAGAAAACACACATTCTGAAGTGCAGTTAGATCCTTTTGTTTGTTGAAGGTACAAAAGCAGAACCACCCAAGTCCTGATTTGAGACAGAGAAGCTAAACAGGTAATGAATGCCACATGAAGAATCAGACACATATGCAACATCTGCCGGAAGGCAGACATTGTATAAACCAGCTAGAAGGTGAGGCTGTGTTTCCTCCCAGCAGGAGACCTGTACAAAACAGCTGGGACTAATAATAAGAAAAGCAAGTAATTCTTTTAAAAAGGAGTCAAAAAGATTAAAAAGAAAATGATAAGTCAGGCAACAACAAAGAAAATCAAACAAATTCATATTGGGCATGTACGTGAAATGTAAATATCTTAAAATGCAACTCAAAGTCAGACATTGTAGCACATGCCTGTCATCTTAGCACTCAGGAGGCGGAGGTAGGAAAATCACAAGTTTGGGGCCAGCCTGGGCTACACAATGAGTCCTAGAACCTAAACTACATACCAAGACCCTGCCTCAAAACAAAAAAAAATCAAATAAACTGCTGAAAAATACAGGAAGACATAAATACATAGCTTAAAAGACCCTATATGAGTAGGAAAACAAACACAAAATTCCCAACACTAAGTTAATGCATTGTAAAATTATAAGTCTTCAAAATTAAAGAATCCTCTGGACAGCCTGGCAAAAAGATCTAATCACTTAAAAGGGCAAAAATAAACTGGGCATGGTGGTTCACACCTGTAATACCAACACTCAGAAGGCTGAGCCAGGAGGATCACTGGAAATTCAACACCATTCTGGGCTACACAGTGAGTTCTAGGACAGCCTGAACTGCATTAGCAAGACCCTGTCTCAAATAGACAAAACAAACAAACAAACAAATAAATAAATAGGGCAAAAAAATTCAGGCTCGGCCCAGATCTTTCAACAGCAACATTTAAATACCAACACAATCCTCAAAGTGCAATCTTCCTGCAGGGTCTTGAGTTCGATTCACCATACAATAAAAAAGTGGAATCCAACTTGTTATCTATATGCCAAACTGCTTTTCAAGGGGTTACAATCAAACTGTTCTGAACATGAAAAAATCTGAGTTGACATCCCAGATCCTTTGAAAATCAAAGAAACTAGGCCAGAAAGACTGGTGATGAGCACTGAATATACTTACTGTGGAAAGAGATTAAAGCAAAAATGTGGAAAACAAAGTTAAGAAAACTAAATATAGTATCACATCTCCTAATGATGGAAAACTGATACAACCAACAAATACAAACCAGAAGGGGGTAAAGGGACAATGAGTAGGAATTTAACAAAGTTTATACATAGCCTCACATAGTGCACCAAGAAACATCATTTAGAATCACCAAATTAAATAATACAGATGAACATTTGAACAGCAACAGGAAAATGTTAAGTACATGCCCAACATGATGAATTCATTTGATTTTCTTTGCCTGACACCTTTCATTTTTTTTATTCCTTTTAACTTTCTAAAAAATTATTTGCTTTTCTCATTAGCCTTTGTATCCTGGTTAAAATTAGGCTGATAGAAAATAGAAAGTTTACTGCTACTTAGAAGACAGTAACAGAGAATAGCCAAAAGTATAAAAGATGACTAGAGTTATTGTTTTGGTTACTCTTCTCTCTTTGCTGGGACAAAACACCTTGCACCCCAAATGAAGGAAAGAAAGGTTTATTTAACTTCCAGGTTGTGGACGTTTCAGTCCATAATCAGCTGGCTCCAAGGTAGGGTGGCATGGCACCAGGTTAACACTTCAAGGAAGCAGCCAGCAAAAGCAGCCAGAGCAAAATGGGGAGAACCAGCCTTTTCTCTTTCCTTATATTGTAAGTAGTCTACCACCCTGAAGGGGAAGGTCTGTGCTCTCCTCCTACACAGGCTGAGGATGTTTACAAAAGACTCCTGGCTCTCTAGTGAATCTCTTAGTTAAATTTCTAAAGTGCTCAAGTTGACCCAATGTATCAACCATAATGGTCATACAACATTAAATTTATACAGATAACCAGAACAAATACAAAGTATATATACATAAAGTAACAACACAGTGAAAAAGCTTTAAAAAAGAGAAAGTGTTAAGAAAAAAAGTAACCAACCATAAGCACATAAACCTATCAGATCAATGTATACAAACTGATACAAACTGAACTACTAAAAATTTTTTTTCATATAGGATCACAAAGGAAAAAAACTTCTGAAAGAAAAAGAAGAACCTAAAACAAAGTGATTCAGAAGAGTTGAAGAAAACAAGTACTGTAAGCCTAACATCAAAGTACAAGTTGGGGTAAAAGCCACTATTAGACTAAAGGACACTTTTACAATATACACTTTTTAAAGCTAGATTTTTCTATATAACAAACAATAGCAACAATCTTAAAACTAGATACCCAACCAACTGATACTTGCAAACATTTTAAAATTTAAAGTTTGAAAGAATTTTACCTTCATGTGATTTTTCAGAGGGTCCAAAAGATTGAAATGAATATTGCACTTTGGACAAGCTCTTGGAAAAGGTGTTCCATTTTTAGACTGATCTGATGAGGTATTTGCACCTAAAATAAATTTATGGTTCAAAACTCATATTTTAACCTTACATTAATAACAACTTAGTTTTTCAATATCCAAAAATTTGTATAAATATTGGTAATTTCTTTTCTATAAGACTCCATATTTACCTTTTGATGGCATCACCTGAGAAGGTGTCTGGGATGAAGATTTAACTAAAGTTGAAGAATTTGTTCCAGGAACATTTTCACTGGGCTTAGGTTTTTTTGGATTAACACTGTTTACTTCAGAAGCAGAAGGTCGTTTTGATAAAAACGAACTTTCATTGATACCTAGAATGATTGAAATAGTGGGAAAAATAATAAACAATTCAGAATATTGCTTATGACTACAATAAGATGCCTGGGAGCTAAATTACAGGTAATGTAATTGAGTTATCATATCACATTTACAGTAGAAATTGAATGATCCAATCCCCAGATGGGTAAAGAAATAGTATGAACATTTATCATACACTATGTTATTCAAATAATTTGCAAAACTTTTTAAACAAAAATTCTAAATATGGCTTCAAATAAACAGATGTATAAGCAGTTATTATAATAAAAGAAACCAAACCAATATATCATGCAAGCCCAAAAAAAAGTTAAAACACAAAATACTCTCAATTACTTACAAATGAATTATCTTTCAGACGCTTAAATGCATTAGATGGTAAAAAACAAATTGACAGAAATAATTATTTGTTCTAAAACTTTAGATCCTTAAGATGCTCTTTTATTTAACAACTTAAATAAATTATGAAATAGTTATTTTTCCCACCTAACAAACTAAACAATGGTCCACTCCTGGCTTCACCTGGAATTACCCACTTATTGCTATGCACAGTGCTATACACTCATTCAGATGAAAGGGCACACAGCACAAGGATTTTTATGCTATGCTCTCCAGAGTTTAAGTGGCTCGTTTTTAAAAGAACAAATGGGCAGGTCTGATAAACTCTTTTCCATTTTATTTATTAGACCCTTGCATAAAATTGTTTATGTAGGAATTTTACTCCTAAAAATACTTTTCCACCTGAAAATTATCTTAAAGCTAAAAGATTTTAGCCTTACTGTACAGAAACGTTACAGAGATAACATATTTAAAGCACCACAACACAACAGCTGTCACACAGAAAAGTACTCAATTACTGGCAGTTATTATCATTACTATTGAATATTTTAATCTTAATTTACATGGAAAAAATTATTTCAATAGATTCATGTACAAATGCTTTAATAAAGGGAAGCACACCAGGATTATACTAGTCAACTGATTATATTACCTAATTATACTAGTCAGCTTCCATTTTATTCTTTAAGACAACATAAAAATTATCTGTCCCTGTCTTTAAAGCATTTGATTACAGGCAGATATACTACAGGTACATAAGAAAGGATTCTGTGTAATTACTTTAGCATTTAGGTCACTAGAAAAACCAGTAAATTCTAGGATTTAAATTAAGCAACTAACTACATAACAGGCTACATGGCAGAAACAGACTTATTTCAATGTAAGACTCTAACATAAGAAATCTCAATCTTATGTAATCATAATCACTCTGCATTTCTTTTCAATTATGACACTTTGAATTATATGTATTTGTTCTGTTAGGCTTGGGCTATTCCCCACCCTTAAGAGTTCTGTTTCTGTTAGTTAAAAGGCAATTCTCTTGTAACTTGAACAACTATTTTTCTAAGATGACAATATGTAATATATCAACAAGCAATTCCTTAGTGTTAATTTTTTTGTTGAATTCTGTATTATTCTACCCTTTTCTGTTTTTTTCTTTCTTTAAAAATTTTTTTAAAAATCTAATTCTCATTCAAGATCATGCTCAGATTCAATCTTCAAACCCTCATAATCTACACAGACAGAAGTCTATTAATCATGCTACCAAGCACGTCATTATTCATAACTGTCATACATAACAACCATTCATCATCAAGTCCTTTAAGCATTAGAAATTCATTTTTTAAATCAGGTGCAGTGGTGCACACTTATAATCCTGGCTACATGGGAAGCTGAGGCAGAAAATTTAAAATTTGAGGTCAGTGTGGGGATCTTGGTAGGACCCTGACTCAAAATTTAAAATTGCACAAAGGATTGTGGACGTAGTTCAATGGTAGTACACTTGTTTAGCATGCACTGGTTCAATATCCAGTGCCAAAAGGCTTAGAAAATAAATGAAGAAGGAAGGAAAAGAACAGTTTCAAATTCCTATCCTGCAAAAGTTTCAATCCCCAGAGTAGAAAACCTAGAGGGAGAAGAGTTGTTGTATAACCTTCCTTAGATCCAAGAAGTTTCCAGAATTCAGACTTTTTCTATGAATAAAGCCATGTGCTTTGTAAACCAGATAAGCATGAATTTTATTCTTCACTTCTTTTCCTTCTTACCTACTTCATTAACCATATGCTTAGTAATGTGTACTATAGGAAGTACTATTAAAATGGAAAAACCATCAGGCATACAGGCACATGCCTATAATCCCAGCACGAGAGGCTGACATAGGAAGGAGGGTCACCATGAGTTCAAGGTCAGTCAGGAATACATAAGTATGATCAAGGCAGCCTGAATTACACAGCAAGACCCTGTCTCAAGTAAATAAACAGACAGACACTACTACAAAAAAGGAAACTATAAAAGATTTTGGTAATTTCTCCCCACTGTTCTGTTTAGTAAGCAATCTGAGAATTTCAAAAAAATCGTGTATCTCTCCCTTAAGTCAAAAATTTGAAATACACACAAATTGCTATTATCAAAAATATTCTGCTTGGTTACACAGAATTTTCAACTTGATAAAATTCTTTCATAACAATAATATATTTTAGCTTAAGAATTTTATTACAGTAGCATACATACAAATTTTAAATCTTCAAAGGAAAATTTCATTATTCCTTTAAAGGTTCTTACTGAATACTTAATATGTATGAACCCCTACACAAACAAATCACTATTTAAAAATCATACTTAACTAGTACATTGAGACCATTTATTGAAATAGAATACTAACTTAATGAAGACATCAACTATAGACCTATACTTTTTCATACTAGTGGTCATAAATGTATGTGTGTGTGTGTGTGTATATATATATATATATTATGTTTTGTTTTAAACAGGGTCTCACTATGTAGTACAGGGTACTGGCCTGAAACTATCCCAGGGTGGTTTCAACCATCAGTGGTCCTCCTGCCTCAGCTTCCCGAGTGCTGGAATTACAGGCATGCACTACCACATCCAGTGAAAATCTTTTACTAGAAAATTCAGGGTATCTAAGGACTTTTCTCAGAAAGTAAGACCTTTTCTTGTTTTTTGAGGGTAGATCTAAATAAGCAGTTTAGCCAAGAGTTTATATAAAATCACTCCAAAAAGGCAATCAAAAGTTGTTATTCATAAGATATGAAAGCTTTCAGACAAGGGTATAGACTTCAAAACAGAAAGACAATTGCATATTCATCAATTTTCCTTAGATATTTTTAGAGAAAAGAGCTAAAACCAACCTGCTATAGAAAGTGTTGGTGCCCCTTGGTAATGTGATAATCCTGTATCCTGGGTCAAATCAAACAGTAACTCTGAAGAACTATTAGATACGGCTTGTGATGGATTTGTCATACAACCCTGTTAAAATATTTCAAAAGAAGAATATTATATGTATTCAAATAGTTATAATTATTTTGCTTCCTAAACTTTTATAAAGGTAAATTTAACTATATACCAATAATTCCAAAGATAATTTTGATGACTCAATTATTAACAAATTTAAAAACCAAAAAGTAAATATTACTTTGCAAAACTAATCACTTACCAAAGCTGAAAGCCAGCTAATACAACTGGTTTACTCCTCACTGGCTAACTACAATTAGCCAAATTTAGGGGGCAAATTCTACTACAATTCTTTCAAGATGATAAAAAAAGTATAAATTCCCTATCAGTAAGACTGATACACTATACAGTGATTCTAACAATGTAGTATCACCATCAAGGAACAAATAATAGTGAGGCAGGACTTAAAAAGAAGAAAAATTAAGTTTCCCCAAGCTAAAAAATGCCCCTTTAGATTTACCTCTCCCTCCTTTGTACTAGTAACAATTACAATCAGTAACTTTGGTCCCTGTGTAAAAGTTTTATAACCTCCTGTGCTCACAACATCCTGCTATGCCCAAGCAGGGCCAACAAGATATGCTAAATTGCAAAGCTATCACAGCTTGACAAACTGCCCTTGTTCTCTTTTTGAAAACTTGCTTCATTGCCCACAAGTTTCATAGCCGTTAAAGAGACCAACCTCCTCAACATGTTTAAAACTAGAGGCTTTCAAAAAAAAAAAAAAAAACAAAAAAAAAACCTAGAGGCTTTCCTTAGTTCAGGGCTCAGTCCTTTGGACACAAGTCCACTGAGTCCAAGTACACCTACAATACATACTCCTGTTTCACCCAACATCTCCCCAGTCTCTTAAAAATTGTGCAACAACAAACTCAGCAAAATTTTGGGGCATAAACAGAATAAAAAACATACTGACAACTACAAAAAGTGAAAGTTCTCATACCTCTTAAAATCTACATTTAGGGGCTGGAGATATAGCTCAGCAGTGTAAGCGCCTGCCTTGGAAAGGCAAGACCATGAGTTTGATTCCTGGTACGCACCCCTCCCAAATCCTACATCTAAAATACCAAGGCCAACATAACAGCACTGATGAATACAGCATATGATATAAATTTCAGAACCATCTTTTCTGGTGAAATTTGTAAGCTATGGATAAGAAAGAGAACAAATGGGCCTTCTGATCCCACAGAGAGGTGTGCTAAGCTAGGCAATCTCCACTTATACGTAGCACGTGAGAAAGCCACCTGACCAGCAGGCAGAAGACACAAAAATGTCAAGCACACAGAGTTTACAACAGAAGCTGTTTACAGGACCGACACAGGCCGACAGCCTGCTTGCTCCTACAGACCTGGCAAAACAAATTTTCAGACCTCCCAGTGGGACAGAGGTGGTCCAAGCTAGCAGGCAAATCTCCAGAAAGCAGTGAAAAGTATGAGATGAACCAAAGAAGTGGTTGAGACAAACCAAATACAATATAAAGAAATACACAGTTATATGCAAGCATAAGCATGTATTTAATTGTGAAAAGCTTGCCTAAATAACCTGTTTACATGTGCTGTAACACTATCATATATTAAGTATATTTGTATACTCTAATTATTTATAAAAGACAACCTTACAGAGAATAAGCTCTTAAAAGTGACCTCTGAATCATTCCACATATATACAGCAAGCATATATTTAAAAGCTTAAAGTAAAAAAGGAAAAAAATGGCTAGTTGAAGAGAAAAATGGCCAAAGAATATAGACAATTAAAAAACAAAATATGAATGGTGATACAAATGAAACAACTTCTTTCCAACTTACAGAAAATGCAAACAAAAACAGCAATGTTCACTGAACTGGTATTGTTTTAAAAATGGTGTCTATTAGAAAATGAATAGTTACTACTCTTAAAAGTGCTATGGTCTTCAGAGTCAAATAATAACTACAGAAAATATGAGGAGACTGAGAAAAAACAACTGCAAAGCAGGACCATGAATAGGGCCCTGGGAAAGATAAAAGGGAACACCGGGAAACTCTGATAAGGACCTCAGATGAGTTATTGGTGTCTGCCTGGTTGTCGTAAGTAAGATGTGAGGCTACAGGAGGCTGGGTGACTGACAGGAATGTAGGAACCCTCTGTACTGTTTTTCCTATCGATTAGTATTAGTCTGAAGAAAGTTAAAGTTCAGAAGTGATGACAGCTGAGCGTGGTGGCACACACCTGCGATCCAGCACTCAAAAGGCTGTGAGGCATGATGAGAAAGTCAGCTTGGGGCCAGCCTGGGAAATGAAGTAGATTCAAAGCCACCCTGCATGACACACTGATCCAGTCTCAAAAAACAAAAAGTGGTGATACTGCTCACTACTATCAAAGCAGAGGTTATGTTTTGACACAGTTTGCATAAAAATTATAACACGTACCAAAGTCTTTAAAGGTTTAATCTGATCCAGTTATTTTAAGATTCATGATTTTAAAAATGAAAGTTTACTGGAAAATTATTTTTCCTGAGAAATTATTTTTAATAAAAAAATATAATCTATACAGCCACACAGAGAGATGGATAAACAGAGCATTACACAACTATTAATAACAAGTTTAACTGGGTAGGAGGCTAAGGCTGAGCTTGAGGTCAGCCAGCGCTTCACAGTGAGCTTGAACCAGCCTGAACTATATAGCAAGACCTTGTCTTAAAAACAAACAAATTTATTTTAAAAATCAGTTTTTAGCAATATTTAATGACATGTTCCAAGTAGAACGTTCAATGAAAAAGAGAAATATGTTATCAGTATATACAATATACATATACAATATGATCCTGATTAATGCACTCCTCTCTTTTCTATTTTCTCTTCAAAATACGTATTTTATAATAAAAACATAAAGCTTTTCTTTTATGCTTATAAACTGAAGGATAATTGAGTTTTAAGAATTTGCTGTTACTAACTTTTCTATTGATTCAGAATTATTAAGAAGTTATGGCAAGTTATTGTTGTAATCCAGATGATACCTAAAGGCAAATATGAGCATCTGAGATTTAACATGCAGGATAAAAAAAGTAAGTAATGCTGTTATGACTCCATCAGGTTAGATATATATGCTAGGGCTGGGGATTTAGCTCAGCGGAATAAGCGCCTGCCTTGCAAGCAGGCAGTCGTGAGTTCGATCCCTGGTACCGATAAAAACGAAAAAGACAAAAAAAAAAAAAAAAAAAAAAAAAAAAGATATATATGCTATAATCCTAGAGTTTGGGAGGCTGAGGCAGGACAATCGCTGTGGGTTCAAGCCAGCCTGAACTACATAGTATAACCCTGTAGCAAAAAGCAAATAAATAATAAAGCCATATGATTTAACTGCAAAGAAACAAACTTAATTCAAGGTTAATATTTTCTCTAAATATTTATGGAAAGTATGCACTGCATTTTCTAAAGTAATTTCTTTATAGGAGTATAATAAAGTTAACAATGTTAAAAACTTTTCTAGAAAACTCTGAAGAGTTAAATTACCACAATTTCAGATAGCAGATAATTCAACTTTTGGGGGGGTTTCTTTCTTTTTCTTTCTCTCTCTTTTTTTTTTTTTTTTTTGGTACCAGCAATTGAACTCAGGATCTTGCACTTGCCAGGGAGGCATTTATGCCACTGAGTTACATCCCCAAATAAGTAGTTAAAATAATTCCCCAATAAGGAACTTTTAATGTTTTTCAAGCGGTAACATAAAGACATTAAATACAATTAGGGTAGAGTAAGTGCTCTACGGGGATTTAGATACTATCCCTTGCTTTTCTTTTCCTTTCCTTGTTTGTTTGGTTTTTTGTTTTGAGGCAGGGTCTCATTATGTATTTCACCTTGGTATTAAGCTCAATATAGAGCCCAGGCTGACGCTAAACTCACAGTGATCCTCTTGCCTCAGCCTCCTCAGTGCTGTAACTACAGGCATGAGTCACCAACCTGGCTTCCTAGATGTATGGATAGTTACAGTTAGATGCAGTTAAAGACTCCAAATAAGGAACTACTTTACTGATGGAGCTGAAATTAGAACCCAGGCCTGATCACAAAGCTCATGCCCTTAGTTTAGGTATCACACTGACTTTATAAGAAACAACAATAATAAATTCCATCCCAATCTACTTGAAAGAAATGTTGAAATACAAAGATAGCATATGAAAAAGTAAACACACACCTATAAAACATGACATAAAATGGAAAATAGTTGTGATTTACTAAAGTCAGTAGTTTCCAAAATTCAGGAAGTCCCTTAAATAATATTTTCCACTCATTCTAGTTTATCACTGTTTTATTCTTAACTTTGCACAACAGATTGCCAGGAATTTTTAAAAATGTATCTTCACCAGGCCCCATCCAAACCAACCAGATAAAATGCTCTTTTTCTCAAAGGGACTCAGGAATGGAAAGTTTCGACTAAAATGCTTTGACTTAAAAACTACGTCCACAAAAAAAAAGTCAGAAAATGCTCCAGTTTCTAATTTTTTATAATAATGAAGATTCTACCCTTGCTTTTGTTATCTCCCCCATCCCGAGTCTAATGTTGGAAAGACTTTTATCAAATTACATTAAATAATAAAGTTTTCTAGTTTCCCCTGAATACAAAATGGCTTATGACAAGCATAAAAAAACCACTAACTTAATTTGGATTCAACTGTTGGTCAACAATTTTTACATTCTGGGTAGCTTTCCACTTTACGTGAGGAACATTTACTACATTTTTAAAAACATAAAGTAACAGCTGTGTGGAACCACACAGGATCCAAAATACTCCTGCAGTCTCTATGTTCTTATTCTATAATTTCCAATTTTTTTAAAATGTATTACTATTTTCCAAAGCCAGTGATACCTAACTCTTTGGCTTCAAGTTGACCCTTTTGCACATTTAAAAATTAATGAACCCCAAAAGAGGTTTTGTTACGTTAGTTATATCTATTGATACTTACTACAGTGGGAGTTAAACAGAAAAATTTTAAATATTTACTGATTCACTCTTAAATAATAAACCCATTACAATTAATATAAATAAACTTGTATTAATAAAAATTATTTTCAAACACACACACAAAAAAGTAACAGTGGCACACTTTTATACTTTGACACTATACCAAAACAGCCGAGACTTTCTTAAAGGTCTAATAACGTGGGGACTCTAAAATTATTTCGCTGAATATTTTGTGCCCTTGCTCCTATAAAATGACTGATCTTATACCATAATTAGGTCTTTTACCCATGGACACTTTTATAACATACATATTAGTGACTAGAAAACTCTGGTTTCACTGAATAATGCAGGATCTTTCACATGTTGACACAGTTCCTTATGCACCATCAAAATGTCCTATTTACAAATACAACTCCCAGTAGCAGCGCTGAAATATTGAGAAGCTGTGGGGATCAGCATGACAATCAAGCTTTCCAAATTTTTAATTTTTTTCTTGAAAACAGAAATTTTACCACTAGCAAAAACATTACTATCAGTTGCTTTGCTTGAAGTGGCAGGTGCACTTTATTCCAATTTTTAGGAAATGTCTGCCAATATTCAAGACTGAATAACTCTAAGGCAGAAAGGGGCCGGGATTTAGCCAACAGCACAAGCGCCTCCCTTGCAAGCATGCAGTCATGAGTTCAATCCCCGCTACCAACAACAACAACAACAACAACAAACTCTTAAGGCAGAAAGACTCTTAGGCAGTCTCTATCATCTCACTCTTGGTAATCACATCCTGTGTGACAGCCTCCCTCTGATTGTGGGTAGGACAACTGGCTTGCTTCTCAGCAACAGAATACAACAAAGGTGACAGGATACATGATTCTGTGCATAGGATTATGTTACTTAAGAATACAATGACATTTTGTAAAGGACTCTCACTTGCTACCTTTGAAGAAAAAAAGAGAACCATGCTGGAAACACACACCTGGCAAAAAGCCGGCAAATATCTAGCAAGATACTGAGACTCTCGGTCTGACCTGAACGCTACCAACAGCCACATGAACCTGGAAGCTGATAGCACCTCACAGGACTCAGATGAGAGTGCAACTTCAGGGATCACAGCTTGTATACAGCCTGTGAGGGCCTAAAAGAGAGAATCCAGCCAACCACAGTGACACTTGACCCACAGCCAATATAAGATTATAAGATAATAAGTGTGCATGTCTAAAGTCACATGTTTGTTAGTACTGCTATAAAAAAATAATATACCAAGGTTTGTCATTCTTTCAAGTCAAATTGGTGTTCCTTTTTTTTTTTAAAATGAGTGGGCGGTTCAGCTCAAAACTTAAATCACAATGGTACTTTTCTTCAAGAAAATCATTACAGTGAATACAAAAGAGCTTTATGCATACTACCCACTTCACACAAAATATTAAAGACTTACTCAACGGTAAACATCAGTGACGCGAACTGATGTCTAACATATTTTAAAACTTCATCAAGGAATTGGGCCTAACTGGAGCACTTTTCACTGTAAGAGCATGGTAGATGACTAATAAGAGCTATCGTTTGGTGCGTGTGCTTTGTAGTGAGGCACCAGCAGCTCCTTCACGACAGTCTGACAGTGATGACAATGGTGCTGACTCCCAAACCCCTGCAAGGCTAGGAGCCCCCAAAGGGTGCAACCTACCCTTGAATTGCTGAAAGGAAGTTTTCTTTTTGAAACACATATATTCATATACAACATCTGTAAGTATGCGTGCATACTCATCTAAACTCTAGTTTAGCCTAGACTGAAATCCCAGACCCAACATCTGCCAATTTATTTTATTTTTTGTTTTTTGTTGTGGTACTAAGGATTGAATTCAGGGACTTGAGCATGCTAGGCAAGCACTCTACCACTGAGTTACATCCCCAGTCCTGCGACTATCTTAGGAGAATCATTTAACCACTGTACCTTTCCTTATAATAGTACCTATTTCACTGGTATGTTTGAGAATTAAATGAGATTATTTTGTATATAGCATTTAGCCCAAATCATTATAAACAGCACAATAAATGATAACTATTGCTATTATCTCATACTTTTTATTCATTTTTTTGCAATAGACTAACAGGACTATTTTCCAAATAAAAATGCATGACGACCTCTCAATAATTTTCCCAATCAAACATGGTAAGTTCAATGCCAGCCTGAACATAGTGAGACTCTGTCTCAAAAAGAGAAAAAAAAAAAAAATTAAAGAATACTTGGCCCAGTTGGCAACCTGACACATCGTGCCATTATGTAATATTCACTACTACTAATGCTTCTTACTCATGTGTTGAGGGCACAGTTTTCAGTACAGTACCTATTCAATTTTAGCCCATTACCTAGCATATCGGTACTCAATATGCAAATTGGTACTCAATTTTTACTTTGGGGTTTGGGGAGTAGTAGGGGCTGAATTGCACCGAGCTACATCCCCAGCCCTTTCTTCATTCTTTGAGACAGGGTCTCACTCCACTGGGCGTAGGCTGGGTTCAAACTCGTGATCCTCCCGAGTGCTAGGATTATAGGTATGTTCCACAAGGCCTGGCTCTACAGTTACTTCTTTGGACACTAGTTGAGTGAACATAAAGCTGCTGCCATTATTTGATGCTGACTATGATTCCAATAAATGATTGAGGTAGTCTGAAATTTTAAGTAGGTATTGCTGATCTTGTTAAATAACAGCCTATGTATCTCTGAGCTGACTATAGATTCAAAAACACTTACAGGTTTAGAAAAAGGCTGAACAATAACAGAGCTACTTGAAGATCTAGATTCAGGATGAAAATTTACTGGCGAGGCAGACACTGGATTTGAAGTTGAGTTCATGTAGTGTTGGCTTGGAGGCCTGAATGCAGCCGTAATACCTGTGTTTTAAAATTATACAATAGATTGAATACAATTCTATACAATCAATTTTGTCAAAATACTTCATTTTAAAATTAAAGTAGTACAATAATATGGTACCTCGACTCAGTGCGCCATTCTTTATTCCCCTTGAATACAAGCCAGGGTTAACTCTATTCAAAATATCTATAAAAAAATTACATATATACATATATTAGAATTCAGGGTTTGAATGAAATATGTATTAAATATGAATTAAAAACGTACCTGGAAGGAGTAAGTTATCATTAATTTAAGAGTTAATTTTATATCTTTATGTAAAAAAACAAAAGAAACATTAGCCTTAAGTGTGTAATAGAACAAGCAGTCTTTCTCATTGTAACTTAAAATCCAAAGCCAAGAAAAAGAATGATAAATTTGAAATAGCGAAACATTCTGTATAACAGTCCACATATCAGTGAAGATTTTCCAAAAATACACTTATTTATACACAAGTTGTATTTAAGCATTCCTTGAATGGTGGCAGGCTTACACATACACTCAGGTTCCCAGCTCAAAATCATAACCTTAATGAACCTTCATGTTCCTTTCATATCCCTAAACATCTTTAAATTTCATTTTGGAAAACCTCGTTAATCTATTATTACTTCTATTTCTGAAAGGAAAGCTACCACAGATAGGGACTAAATTGAATTTCCAGTTTACTAAAAACTTCAGATTTACAACTGTATCCGAAGTCAATCCAAGCCAGACATGATTTTAATTATCACTCTTAAAGTTTCACTCTTGCATATACATGATCTCTGTAACTTCTGGCTTTTTCAGTAACCAACCAAAATCAGAAAAATGAAGACAAGAAAAAGTTTGAGAGTGCCAAAAATGAAAAAAAAAACTCCAAACTTTATAATTTTTTTCCCTTTATACAACAGTACTAGATTCCACATCCAAATGCCCCACGGTGAATGTAAATTATGTAACATGTACTAATAAAAATAAAAACTTTTCAAAAAGAACTAGACCCCACCAAATCTATAAAAGTTCACGTAAAAGTACAATTGCTTTCTGATAATGTCAATGCAGCTCCACACTTAAGAACTTTTACTGAAGAAAAAATATGTTCAAACAACTTGTCATAGTTTTCATTCAGAAATTCAAGATTAGATATTTGTTCAAACCATCAAAGAAACATTGCTGTAGTATTTTTAGTGAATGTAATGTACAAAACAGAAATTCCTTTTTGGCACTTTTATACAACCATTTAACACATATTCCTTATAATGTTGCTGATTTCACATAAAATAACAAAGTAATTTAAATTTTGCATCGTAACAGTTAAGAAAAAAAATCCTACTAGAGGTCAATTCCTTTTTGATAGAATTATTTTAAAACTAATGTACACTGTTCTGGTTGAACACTGTTATCAGTCACCTGCAATCAGTATAAATTTAACTTGGGTCTTAACTGTCATATTTTCAATACGGATGTTGAATAACCATTCTGCAGTACTCCAATGTAAGATACGGTAATCAATAGGAAACTAATTAAAGAGAACTGCATCTTATGCTCTACTATCACAACTTGCCCGTCACCATACCTAGCTCATTTAATAATCTAAGAGGTAGGTGCTCACCCCATTTAGCATTCCACCGGACAATAATCCGCCAATGTAAATACTACTGGAAATTCAATCTGTTAAATTACTCTCCCAGCGGTAAAAGTGAATAAAATGCCATTCTAGGGGCCAGGGATATAGCTCAGTGGCACAAGGCCTGCCTGGTAAATAGGAAATCGTGAGTTTAATTCCCACTACCACCAAAAAATCCCAAAACAAAACAGAACAAAACAGCCATTTTAAGCTTATAAGCAACAAGAGCAAGAACACAGCTAAAATTCTTAGAAACTTTAAAGTTGTCTCACAATCACACTTTCAAGCACTGCTACTGGTAAGCGAGAAAATACTAATATCCTGGTTACATAACATTCTTTAGTAAATCCTCTTGGTTAAAATCAAAGGATTTATTTTCTTTCTCCTTAAAATTTGTACATTTTCCCTCTAAACATTAGACATTTTTGAATAAGCATGTTAACAAATACCAATATCTCTGCAAAAGTAACAATGTCAAGGTCAATTACTCTTAACTGAAAGCTAATGATCTAAAACTGGCTATTTTACCAGAAAGACCAAACAGCCTCTAATTGTGCTAACTGCTACATCATCAAAGTATATAATCTGTAGACAGTGCTTTCTTTTTCACGAACAGAAATCCGAGCTGCTAAGATTGACATGATTAGGAGCTACAACCCGTCAGTCAGTGTGTGGGTCAGAGATGCTGTCACCATTCCCGGCCTGGATGCCCGGCGTGCATCCTGACACTTGTGGAAAAGACAGTGCAGTGAGGGTGGATGCGACAGCTTCCATCTGAGATAAACATACACTTATGCAGTACATTCCAAAATCTTAAACTAAGCATTCCAAGCCTTTTTCTATGTTTTGGTGAGAAAAAACAAAAATATGAACAGATAAACGAATTACTCCACTCTATTATAATTTTTATTTTCTGATCTCAGAAAAATTCCAATGCCACCAGCTAATCTAAGCCCACTTACTTTTGTGCACATCTGGTATTTCTCTTACTTCTCTCTTCCTGACTCTCAAGTCTTAGTAGTCTGCCACCAACCTCTTATCCCAAACTCCTTGAATAAGGACGTCGAGTACATACAACAGTTCACAAGTTATCCATTAGAAATACCTTATAAAACTTGGCTTCTCTAAAAGTCATGCTTACTTGAAATTGCTGGTTTTGAACTTGATATCTCCCCAACAAAGATTGGCTCATCATCATCATCATCATCAACTTCTTTTACTTTCTTCTGCCATGGTTCCAGCTCTTCTTCCTCACATTCCATAAAGAGTTCTGCCATTTTTAAATTATCTGATTTTCAAAGAGAAAGAACCAAACCTTACTTTCAAAAAGTAAGCAAAAATTATTGTTGTAGTACATAGTATGATACTGAAGACCTACTTGAAAAACCCTAATACCAACCTTTGAGTTGATATTTACAGGTCATTGTAGCATCAGTAAGACATTAGTTACCAAGATATAAACTAGTAAAATTTAGAGACACATAGATACACACACAATGGATGACAGTAGTTATTTACAGTGGACAGAAAGTTTGGGAACAGTCAGTCTAGTCAAAGTTAACCACACATATACAATATGGTCATCCATACATAAAAGATTATACGTAACCATTATCTTTTGAAAGAGTCTTAACAAAAAAGGCAAGCAGACTACGAATGAACACATGGGAAACAAATTAGAATTAATGAACTAGATTCAGGAATGCCAGGCACACAGTAAAGCAGGGATGAGGTGCTAGACTAAAACACAGGAAATGAATGAGGGTTATCTCTTGTAAGGCAGCTTATGTATTTCTCACCTGAACAAAGTGATCCAAAGCAATACATATGGTACATCCCACATCTTAAATATTCTGATAAAGTATACAGACCGCCTAAGAAGCATGTGAGCACTTCACTCTTAAATATGAATGGACAACCAATGAGCAAGAAGAACTTTAGGAAAATCCCCTAAAATCTCAAAAAATCAGTGAGGCAGATGAAAGTATCCTAAGGATGAAAAATATACATGGGCAAGAAGAGAAAAGAAATGCATATTTAGGTATACAAGATGAGAATAAATATTATAAACAATGTTCAGAAAAAGTACAAGATCCAAAACAAAATTCTTAAATGCAGTTTAAAAAAAAAAAATCAAGTGCTAAGATGAATAAAGGTCTTCAAAGCTGGGACTAAAAGAGAACTATATAAACTAAAAAGAGAAGACAAGATGGTTTGAAAATTAATTTCCAAAGTATAACATACAATAAATTTATGGAAACAGAATAGTGGAAAAAGAGAAATCACATTGTCAAAGAAATAATGCAAAAAAATTTCCCAGATGGAAGAATATATTCATCTAAGTTCAAAGAGGCCACTAGCACACCAACACAATAATAAAAATTTTAAAAGGTACACCAAAACGTAGGTCACAAAATTTTGAAACAATGAAAATAAAAAAGAAAAGCCTTAAAAAATTGTCACTTATTACTTGGAATGGCTTTATTCTGGGCTGTTTGATATCATGGCCGGTGATGCAATGAACAGCCACTTTGAAGAAAATAAGACATAATAACAGCTAGTGCTGATTTAATAACATCTTGTCTTAAAGCCGCACCAAACTATGGTTCTTCTGTCTCCATTGCTTTTATTATGTTGTAACTTGTTGGACTTTATCGTATGTGGTAGTATAAACAAAAATTGTTATAGGCAAAGAGATAATATTGAAACCATTGGTCATTTTTTTCTGTTAGCTGGTTCTAAATACTCTACAATGCTTTCATCCACTTGAATGGTGTTACAGTCTTGATATATTTGATGCTATAGCATATGAAGTTATATTCAAATATTTCAAAGAAAAAGACTCTATGGTAACTACTATTAAGTCGGGTTATTTGGTGGTGAAGCACTAGGTTGCTGAAAGTGTTATGCTTTAACCTGTATTGTTATGTTGTTATGCCCCCTTTTATCTCATCCTCTCCCTTATTCATTAAAAAATCATTTAATTTTTAAAAAAAAAATATATCAACCAATAAAAAATGCTCCTGGTTCTGTAGGGAAAAAGAAACCCTTTACAACTGTTGGTTAGAGAGTAAATTAGTACAAACACTGTGGAAATCAGTGTGGAGATTCCTCAAAAAATTAGGATTAGAGGTCCCATTCAACCCAGGTATTCCCCTTCTGTGTATCTTCCCAGAAGGATTAAAAAACATCACACCACAGTGACATATGTGAAACCATAAGGTTCAAAATATACAATAGTCACTGTGAAATGGAAGGAAACTGTTCAATAAAAAGAAGAAACTAAGATAGGGGAAAACAGAAAGGATAGAAGGGAAAAGAAAAAAAATGCAAGTTAGTTATATCATTAGTGTCACTTAGTTCACTGAACAGGAAAGGTTGTGCTAATATTGATTGAAGTAATTTTTATGCCCATATTTTGTACTTGAGTGACTAAAGATAATGTTGTATAATTTATCAACAATTGTTACTTTTTCATTATTTTGTTGTGAAAATTTGTTTTACCTTTTCTTCTTAATATTAACAAATAAAGTAATAAATTAAAAAAAAAAGAATACACTACAATACGATAAGGGACAAAAGGGGCAGGAACAGGTCATATACAAAAGACCAAAAGAATAAAAATTACAGACAGTAAAATGTGGTCATGGGTGGGGCTTTCTGGAAGTAGCTAGTCCTAGCTTGTGTGATGCTGGGATTACGACACGTGATTACTAAAGTATTCACTGACTGCCTTGGCATAGTGCTGTGGGTGGATAACGGGAAGCCCACCCTGGGTGTGAGTGGCATCACCACAAGGGCTGGTGGCCTAGAAGCGATAATAAGGACAGACAGGCTCCTGCTCCTGCTGCTGCGTCACTAATTCATCGCACTCTGCCTTCTGCCTGCCTTGGACTGTTTCTCCGCTGTGATGCCCCTCTGCTATGCCACCCTGCCTTGAGGCAAACAACTGTAACATGGAACCTCTACAAACTGTGAGCTGAAATAAACTTTGAGGTGCTGGGTTTTTGTTTTTGTTGTTTTGTTTTGTTTTTTCTCAGCAACACAAAAATTTAACCCAATCAAATTTTTCATCAAGAATGAAGAAAAAAATAAAGATCAGTAATATCACGAGACACATCTTATGTGTACTTTCTTAGGAAGCTGCCATAGAATCTGCCAAAACACAAAAAAATTAATGAACAAAGAAGGCATAAGATGCATAATACGAAGGACAACACAAATTTAGCAGGCCTACAGAACATCCAGGAGAAACGGGATCAGAGAGAAGAGTACTTTAGAGGGAGCATCTCTAGGAGAGTAGAGATTCTTTTAGGCTTGGAGATGCAGCTCAGTGGTAGGAAGGTTATCTAGCATGTGAGAGGCCTGGGTTCAATCCTCAACACTACAAAAAAAAAAAAAGTAAACTTAGGATACCAGACAGGTTTTATTGTATAGAAAAACTAAAGTGAGGAGACTAAAGAATAAAACTTACCAAGTAAAAATTAATTGCAGAGTAAAAAAGAAAAAGGAACAGTATCCTCTTAATACATCTTTTATATGGTGTTCATTAGTGAACAATATTAACTAATTGCCAACCTCATTAAGTTATTTTGATAATGAAAATATAAATATGAATTAAACCTAAAACTGAAAACTATATTATGAATGTAACTATATCAGGAAAAACTTGGAGAAGTAACTTTAAGAAAGCGAGTACGTTCATCTTTAATGACAGAAAAATGTTAAGAAGTGGTTAAAAAGATAACGAAACACATAGCACGCACTGATATGCATATAAGAACTCCTTAGGAAAACTACCTATTTAAAGTCATTTCAATTGTTTAACTTTTTAAATTTATGTGTACCTTCTACTTCAAATTGTGATGGAGAAGCAGCAGTAGGAAAAGCAGGAAGAACAGGAGAAAGAAAGGTGGGGAAGGAAGAGAAATATAGTACAGGATGCCTAAACTAAATGTGGTAGAGATGTAGACTAGTGGTTCTTAATTAAGCAGACATGAAACCTGCAGGGCCTGGTGTAACTCACCACTTCTAAAGGTTATACCAAGTACTGCCAGTTCTACTCTTGACTCAAAATTAGGACAATATTCTACCATGATCTTAAAAGATACTAATTGAAATAATGCTCCAAAATAACATGCAAAAGGTCTATTTCAACAAACTAAGGTGCCAGGGTGTTATTGCTTCTATCCAGGTGTACCCCCAACCCCTAAGCTGCATGTGTTCATAGCTGGGGTTTTGGGCAGTGACTGGGTTGTGGGTGGGTGATATTAACTTAGCTCTCTGATTGGTTTAGCATACTGTGTGTGTGATGATGGATTTACTGAAGTAGGAAGACCCACCATGGGTGTGAGTGGCACCAACCAATAGGCTTATAGCCGGGATGGACTAAAAAGGGAAAGCAGAGGGAAGGTTGCCACCTCTTACCTGCCACACCATGGACTATTTCTTCTCTGCCACTGTCACCGTCTTGGAACCAGTCACCTATGGACTGAGACCTCTACAAACTGAGCTGAAATAAACCTTTCCTCCTTTAACTTATGGTATCAGATATTTTGTTCCAGCAACAAGAATGTAACCAAGACAAGGTGTTATATTGTAGGTCACACAGATTTCAAGCTCTAGTGTTGGACAAGCAAAGAATTACAGAGTATACACCAATGATGAAAGAAAAGCAGCCAGATTTATTAGTGATTAGGAGCAGGGAAATGGTCCTGGGATGACACAGAAGTCACACTGCACACCAGGCAGCCTGACCAAGCTTTTGGGCTCCAGGGTGAGAAAGAAGGCACATGCTTTGGTCTGGGGTTACACAGAATGGAGCTAGGGTGCAGCCCGAGCTCCAGTGGGTGAGGGGAGTGACTCCTTGGCCCCTGTTGTTTCACCTGCACTACCAGTCTTTCATAATCTTTTTTAAAACTCCCTTGTTTACATCACAAATCATTTCCTGATCTAATGTTTAAATGCTAGGAGTCTATCCGCTATTTTTAAAAAACAAAGCAAACATTTTCTATTTTCCCTAATGCTGAAATCACGAACTGATCCATTTCTCCTTTTCTCCCCACTAAGACGGTGTTATTTTGTACTTCGGGACAGCCTTAACCTCACTGTGTAGTCCAGGCTTTCCTCCTATGGCAATCTGAGGAACCCACCAAAGCCTACACGGTGATCCATTTCTTTTCTAAACTATACTGTTTTACAAATTATTCAAGAATTCTTCAACTCAGATTATTAAAAGTACTAATTTACACTGACAAGTCAAAGTTTAGCATTTGTGTATCTTAATTTATTTGATTATATTAAAAAACTAGCTAATTAAAAAAATACAGCACTCTTTGTGTACCGCGAAGCTATTGTTTATACTTCTTTTACGTACCACAGCCTTCCTCCTCACCTTTCCCATCTTCACCAGTCCAGTGGAGAGCATGGACCTAGTTCCAATCTTCACTGCACTATTCCTAATTGTGTGAGTGAACAAATTACTTAAAACTACCTGCAATATTTCCCTAATAGAAGTGTTATACAGATTCAATAAAATGCCTTGTGTAGTATTCAAGTTTAAGCAGATAGTGAAGCTGGATGTGGTGGCACACATGTATTTAATCCCAGCACGAGGCCAAGGCAGGGGAACTGCCTGTGACTTCAATGCCACCCAGCAACGTATTATGTGTTCAAGCCCAGCCTGAATTACACAGTAAGACCCTGTCTCAACAAACCAAACCAAACCAAACCAAGCCAGCAGATAGTCAAGAAAATATAAATCCCCTAGCCTTCCAAAACCTTATATAAACCATTTTATTTTACTTCCAATTCTTCAAGCATAATATTATGCAATTCAAAATTTAACATTTACAATCTGAAACTGCCTACCAATCTTTAAGGGTCTTAACTTTTGTAAGTCCACAAACAAAACTAAGCTCACTGGTAGTACATTTCCCAATACACCAGATGGGCAGCAGGCCCCCAGCATATAATCAATGAATTAGGTGAAGCCAGAAAATGTGTGTTATAATCTATTCTGTGCTTTCTCAAAATGCCTGTTAAAATCTAACCCTAACTTACTCCTATCATGATGGCACTTAGAGATAGGGACTTTCTAAAATAATTAAGTTAAGATCTGGCTACTGAAGTGTAGGCTAACCCAGTGACTGGCATCTTCACAGGTAGAGAGACTAGGACAGACTTGCAGAGAAGGAAGACCATATGAAGACCCAAGAACAAGGCCATCTGCGTCCAAAGAGAAGCCTGGAGCCCTCCTCTCACCCCTTCAGAAGAAACCAACCCTACAAATCAGTCACCTTCACCTTTTAGACTCAAGAAATGTGCAAAAATAAGTTGTGTAAAACAACTGTCTGTGGTATTTTTATGGCAGCCCTAGCAAACCACTAAGAGTATACAGAAATCATCTTCTTTCTTTTTAACAAGGCTCTGCCATCATTAAAGGTTAACAAGTATATACTTGAGAAAAAAAAATTCTAAGACCCATGATACCTTTATGATTTTTTAAAATTAATTTTTTTCTATAGACAAAATACTTACACCAAACTGATAAATAGCAGTCACCTGTATTAACAGGGAGAAAATACTTCTACATAACTTTTTTATGAGAACATCTGTTACTTCAACAATCGTAGTTTAAGAAAATACCCTCAACCTCTACTTCTCCTGAAGCCAAGTTATACAAAAGCCACAAATACTGGAATCCGTGGTGGCAGCAACACTTACTTTTTGGTTGAAAACGGCTGTCACTCACCACATTGCAGAGTTGACTTTCTATAAACTGTCACCTAAGTACTAACATATGGTATCAGTAAATTTCATAAGTCACTTTAAGTAGCACTAAACACTGAAATAAGAAAACTGGAATTAGAAATGCTTAGGATGGAATTCTGATCTTTAAACTCACCATGGGACTCCAGACAAAGCAGCAAGTTATGCCCCAGCTTTCCTTCCTATAAAATGAAGACATTCTACAATTAGAGCAGATTTCATGAAATTAATTGTCTATATATTTAATTTATCCTTTCTTCCTATAAAGAGATCAGTTTTTAAGTTGAATATGTTTGACACATACAAGTCATTTTATGTAACTGATTTATACTTGAATGAACACAAGTAATTTTTAAAAAGGTAGGCCTGGTGGCACCTATCTGTAATCCCACCACTCAGGAGGCTGAGTCAGGAGGATCACTAAGTTCAAGGTAGCCTGGGCTATACAGGAACTCAAGGCCAGCCTGAACTACATAGTGAAACCATTGCTCAAAAAAAAAAAAATACAAAAATGAGCAATCACCTCACTAACAAGTATTATTTTAGTAAATCTGACTTGTCATGGGCTAAGTGACATCAATCTTTGTTATCTATTCTTCACATTTCATATGTGATTGCTTCTGTAAGAAAAAGATAATTTAAAATATATTTTAATTTATTCTTCTTTTTCTAGATTTCTGTGTGTGTACCTGGAGTACTGTAGGTTGAACTGAAGGCCTTCAAACTTAGCTAGAGTCCTTTAATTTTTCAATTTTCAAAGAGTCTCACTAAAACACTAACTTAACCAGGCTGGGCTTAAATCTGATCTTTCTGTCTCTGCCCTGTTTCTAGATTTGGGTTTTTTGTTGTTGTTTTTTGGTGCCAGGGATCAAACTCACGACCTCGTGTTTGCCAAGCAGGCACCTATGCCACTAAGCTGAACCCCAGCCACTCTAGATTTTTTAATTAATTAATTCAACTGAAAACAATCAGAAAATTAGTTGGATATATTTCATAACAGACTAACTCAAAATATAACAATTCATGATCTTCTGTATGAGAGGTGACATGCTAAATTCCAGGAAAAAATAGTAAATCTTTTTTAAAATTGTTATAATAAACAACATCTTAAAAACGCCCAAAGTAATTGTTTTATTTGAACCAAGAACATATGTGGATTCCTATGAACACACAACAGCATGAATTTTACAAAACAAGCAAACTTTTTAAAAACTCAGTTACAAAGAAAGTCAAAATTTAAGACACTCAAAACCTAAAATATGGGAATACATAACTAATTCAATCTCCATATTCTCTTTACCTTTCAACTAATAAAAGCAAGTTTTTTTTTTTCTACTTTTTTTTTTTTTTTTGTCTTTTTCATTTTTATCGGTACCAGGGATCGAACTCACGACTGCCTGCTTGCAAGGCAGGCGCTTATGCCGCTGAGCTAAATCCCCAGCCCCTTATTTTTCTACTTTCAAATTACTTTAACTGAACTAGTCTCCTTTTAACTTTAGAAGTTACTATACAAACATATGAATTATATTCTCAGGAAACTCTTAATGAATCTCCTGTTGAACTAAATTCTCCTAATTGTGAGGTCTCCCTATTTAAACTTCTTTAAGTCAATTAAATATTTGTAGCTTGTCCCTAAAGTATATATTATCAGGTATGGCACAATGCTTAGGCCACAGATAAGTATATGATAATTCTTGTTTAACATTAAGGACCTACCAGTTTCACAATTACAAAAAAAGTTTTAAGAATCACAATTACATGACCTATAGAACTTATATATTTCCATTAAATGAGCGCGTAGCTTTCTATGGTAAATGCTTCAGAATTTGGTGGTAAGGCATACAGTTTTATGAAAAATTAAATCAGATGCCAGAGAATTAAAATATGCCATGAAGATATAAAATGGGGATTTCATGGCTCCAAAAAGTCTTGTTCTTCTGCAGCTCAGCATTAGCCCTAAAACAGCAAAAGAAAACTCTACTCCAGCTACTGAGTCAAGTGCAGATTTCACACACACGTTTAACACAGAGTTTCTATGAAGGGGGGATTTCACATGAACTGAATCCTTCAGAACAAGATTCATTCTTTTTTGGAGACTGGCTACTTAAGTATAATTCCTATTTCACAATTTTTTGTTTCATTTTTCATGCATATAAACTTAAACCATACCTTCATATTTTTAAAACCAAAGGTATGGTAATGTTGAATTTAAATTTTTTAACATGTAATATGACTTATTAGCATTTAGAAACTTCACTAAGCTCTTAGCACCAGTTACAGCAAAGTTTTAATCAACTATGTCTGATAAAAATGCTTCCCATTACTAATATTTGTTGAAGCTATTTGCAGGGACCTTAATTCTTTTATCTTTAAGGCTTGCTAACATGGCATTACTTCTGCCAGTTTCTTTGCCAGCTTTTTCTAAACTTCTGCAGAAATACATTCAGAAAGCAGATTTGTTGGCTGCCTGGGTCTGGAATTTTTGTTTTGTTTGCTGTTTTGTGGTACTGGTGATTGAACCCAATCATACCAGCTGAGTTACATCATCAACCTCGTTTTTTACCTATTTAAAAAAGTCACTTCTATACATTGCTAGATGTTATCTAACACAACACTGGTATAAAAGAGCAATGGTGCGGGCCAGGGATATAGCTCAACAGGACAGGACGAAGCCCTGAGTTTGACTACCAGTACCAAAAAAATAAACAAAGACAAAATACACACATCAAATAGCAACAACAACAAAACCCCACAAAGTGCAATGGTAACACATCACACAACACAGAGACTGGTATGCTCCATACAAGATACAGTCCTCTTTGCTCCAATAAGGGAAAGGCTAAGCCAGCCTACAGATCACAGTGGTAGTGCTTGCACATAAGCGGTAAGAATCTATGTAGGAAAGGAGCTGCACAGCAGTAGCCTGAGCTACATGAGCGGCTAAGGCCAAGGACCCGAAGTTCAAGATTAGCCTGGATAACTTTGTGAGTCCCTGTCTCAAATAAAAATTTAGAAACAAAAACAAAGGTCTAGGAATATAGTTCAATGGCAGAGTGACCCTGGATTCAATCCCCAGTACCACAAAATAAATGAGTCAATCAAACAAACCAACCTTGGCTAGAAACCAGAGAACAAAATCATAATCCAAGCACCTCCAAAGTTTTCAGCCAAGACACCTAAGATTCTAGGTCTCAGGCTTTTAATTCAACTAAATGATTTCGGCCTAATTCAGCTCTAAAACTCTATGGCTGTATACGTTTATCAGGAACAGTAACATGGGAAGGTCAGACGTAAATTTCAACAGCCATATGACCCTGAGGGACTTAACCTCAGTGCTTTGCTTTCCTGGTTTGTGCTGTATCAGTATATATAATACTTCCCAGTATCTATAAGACTAGTTTTCTAGTCCCATGTTACATTTCACTGGATCATATGAGATGACATGTGAAGGGCTACACGCAGCTCTGTGGCTAATATGTATCACACCAGTGTATAACCATCAGTACATATCATGCTTCACACCTTCCATTCCACTGGACTGCATGAGATGAAATATGAAGTGCTGCACACAGTGCAGAGTCTGGTACACAGAAGCCACTCGATAAATCTTAAGCACCCTGAACTCCGGATTAAAAACACTGCTGTGTTACCAATGCACTACAAGCAGGCTATGTGCACAAGAAGTGCTCTCAGGGAAAGCACAACTGCTGGACAGGAAACGCTGGGGCCATTGTTCTACAGGAAATGGAGTCCTAAGAAAGTCGGACTGGAACTTAAGATTCTGAAGAGTTATGACCAAGTTGCAGAAGAAAAATGACATAACTTTTTTGTTTCTGTTACATAGCAAGACAGGCTCTTGCTATGTGATTCAGGCTGGCCTCAAACTCAGGGCGACCCACCAGCCTCAGCTTCCCAAATGATAAGATTATAGGCATGTGCCACCATGCCTATTTATGACTATATTTGAACACATGTAGATTATTGTGCATGAATATTGATTTTTATACATGAATGAATAAATATATTGTTGAGCATGATAAAGGTAGATCACTGTACATGCAAAAACAAGACATCCCTTAAAAATAATCCCATTGTGTCTTTTGGAGAAAAATTAATATAAGATACAGTCTTATTTTGGGGGAAGTACAGTAACAGTAGTAATACATTACATACTATTAAACTACTAGAATAAAACAAGTATTTAATTCAAAACTACTAACAGAAAAGTTAACACATGGATGAGGCAGCTTTTATCATCTGAGTTAAAAACATTCCATTTTGCACACACCTCAGTATTTTAATTATTTTAAATATATGAGTGGCTGGTATGTAGAATACAAAAATGAACATGATGGATATGATGAATGGTTAAGTTCTTTATCTTTCCAGATCCAATAAATTTAAGATGTTCAATCAAATAATCCCCCTCACAAAAATCACACTAGAAAGCTAATTTGGGAGTGACTTCTCCAATCACAAAAGCAATGCTGTCTACTGTGTTCTCTTTTACACGGTGGCCTTCCTGCACTCCCAGGATAGGTGTACTCCTTTCCCTCCTTTTACTTGGTCCAAATTTGCTCTGAAGAGTCTGTTTCTTTTCTAATCGCCAATAAAACGTTTCTACTGTTTGCACCTGGCTTGACCAATTCTTTGCTCGGAACAGAAGAACCTAGAAACCACCTCCAAAATGAGACTCCAGCACTCCAAACCCAGTGACATATTTGGCTTAGCCAGGCTGGAGAGCAGGCAAAGCCCTTGGGGCACTTTTTGCCTGTTTCTAAAATACGCTTTGGAACTCACATTTCTGTTCTCCATGATCCTTTGCTCAACTTTCTCATTCTTTGGGGGAAAAAACAGCCGTTGTAACTTGGCAACCTGCCTAAGTAGCCAGCTACCTGAGTTTACTCCCTTTCCTGCTCAAAGCCTCATCTACACTTTCCCCTCCCATGGCTGTTCCTTTCCAGGACGCTATCTTAGGGCCAGTATCGTCTCATCACATGGCTGGGTACTGTTTTGGGTCAGCCACCATTTGCTTCTAGATCCCTTCTTTGTTTCTTCTAAGCAAATGCAGGTAGAAACGTATGCTTGATGGCCTGAGCAAAACAAAGAACAGTCAGTACTCAAGAGAGTGTGAGTCAATGGTTCTTTTCCTGCGGATAGGTCTGTGCAATTACTCCAGCGA